AACAAGTCTGCTGGATGTCAAAACCAAATTAAGAATTGGCTTCTGGAATGTAAGAAATATGTTTGAAACGGCCAAAACCGCCCAAGTAATTAAAAAATGCAGAACTATAAACTGCATATTCTTGGAATTAGTGAAAGCAGGTGGACAGGGTTTGGACAATCCACAACAGGTACAGGAGAAACCATAATATACTCTGGAAGAGATGATAACCTACATTCTGCAGGCGTGGCACTTATTTTTAAAGAAAGGTATACACAAACATCTCATCGAGTGGCATCCAATCAATGAAAGAATAATGACAGCACGATTCAATGGCAAACATGCCAAACTTACAGTCATCCAATGCTACGCACCGACTAATGAAGATGAAGATAAGGAAACATTCTATAGGAGACTGCAAGAGGTAGTAGATAAAGTACCAGCCCATGATATTCTATGCATTATGGGAGATCGCAATGCAAAAGTTGGTAACAACAACTTGAATAGAGAACTATCAATAGGAAATCAAGGATGTGGTACAATTAATGACAACGGGGATAGACTGAGCGACTTCTGCACGGCGAATAGACTTGTTATAGGAGGAACACTATTTCCTCACAAAAATATACACAAGCTTACATGGATATCCCCAAACAGAAGAAATGTAAACCAGATCGACCATTTCATGGTAAACAGAAAATGGCGTGGGTCCCTACTTCGATGTGCGTGTCAAAAGGGGAGCAGATGTGGAAAGCGATCATCACCTTGTAGTCGCTCTACTACGAATTAAACTCAAAAAAGTTTACACGCAAGGTAAGACACAGACAGCACGTTACAATGTTAACCTTTTAAGAGAAAAAGACATTGCCACTAAATTTATAGTAGAACTCAAGAATAGATTTCAAACCCTATCAAGTGACCCAGAAACTCCAGTTACAATCAGCATTCAAGAAAGATGGAACCAGATCAAAGAAACATACAAATCAACTAGCAATAACATATTAGGAACCAGGAAACAACACTACAAAGAATGGATAAGTAGTCAAACCATGGACTATATTACCAAGCGAAAAAGAATAAAGAGCCTCATAAATCCCACTAAATCAGAACGTCAGAAAGACAAACTAATGTTAGAATATAGCGAACTAAATAAAATTACCAAGAAAAGTGCCAGAGCTGACAAGAGAAGATTTATGGAAAATCTTGCAGAAACAGCAGAAAATGCTGCTAAAGCACCTGATCTACAAACCCTACACAAAATTACGCAGCAAATTTTCGGAAACAGAAACAATTATCACAGCATACCCATCAGAGATAACCAAGGCAGACTGCTCACCACAGAACAAAAACAAGACATGCAGTGGACTAAACACTTCTCCAACCTCTTGAACAGACCTGATCCTGAAAATCCCCCAGATTATTCAACCAGCCTCTCAGGACATTGACATTATTACTGAACCACCAAGCAAACAAGAAATCCTTAAAGCTATCCACACTTTAAAGAACAACAAAGCAGCAGGCAAAGACGAACTGCCAGCAGAACCTCTCAAAGTAGATCTCAACACAACTGCTAGCATTCTAGAACCATTGTTCAAGGATATTTGGGAAAAAGAAGTGTTGCCGGATGACTGGACCGAAGGAAAAATAGTCCAAATCCCCAAAAGGAGACTTAACAGACTGCAATAATTGGAGGGGAATTACTCTACTCTCAGTACCAAGCAAAATATTTTGTAAAATCATCACAATGCGGCTTGAAAAAGGAGTAGATAAATGCCTACGAGTGGAACAAGCAGGATTCAGAAAGGGCAGAGGAACAACTGAGCACACCTTCGCCATACGTAACATTTAAGAACAATGCAACGAATGGCAGAGAAGTAAAAATATTAATTTTGTGGACTTTGAGAAAGCTTTTGACAGCGTCCATAGAGACGGTCTGTGGACAATTTTACGACATTATGGAATTCCATAAAAAATAGTCAACATAATTGCTCTCTTCTATAAAGACTTTTCCTGCAGTATAAAAAATTACAATACATCTTTCCCAGTAAAGACTGGTGTAAGACAGGGATGTGTTATGTCATCTCTCATCTTCAACCTTGTGATTGATTGGATACTAAAGAACACAGTAGACAGGACATTAAGAGGCATATGATGGACTCCATTCACCATGCTTGAGGACCTTGATTTTGCAGATGATATAGCACTCCTATCACATAAACATGAACATATACAAGAGAAAAGTAACAGACTAAACCGCACAGCAGAAATGGTGGGACTGAGAATAAATTTAAAAAAAAAAACTAAGATCATGACAAACAGTCCAAACCAACAACCAGTGACCATAAGTAACCAATCACTTGAAAATGTAGAACATTTCACATATCTTGGCAGTGTGGAGTCCCTACTGGGAGGGACAGAGAAGACATACTGTCACGTCTGAACAAAGCTAGAGCTGCTTTTGGAAGGATGAGGCAAATCTGGAAATCCAACAATTACTGCAGAGGAACGAAACTCCGACTCTACAAGAGCATCATTTTGCCAGTTCCTCTTTATGGAGCGGAATGCTGGAGAATGACCAAGGATGCACACAAGCTGCCCACCTTCCATCACACATGTCTACGTAGAATTATCAAAATTTTCTGGCCAGATACAATCACAAACACTAAACTACTTCAAGCCACAAACCAAGAAACTTTAGACAGTATGATTACCAAGAGAAGATGGAAATGGCTTGGCCACGTTATGAGAATGACTTCTGATATACCTGCCAATACAGCTCTCACATGGACACCAGAGGGAAAGAGAAAACAGGGGCGCCCAAAAACAACATGGAGACGAACGATGGAAAGTGACCTGAGTGCGGCATCTTTGACATGGAAAACTGCACTGAAGATTGCACAGGACACTAAAGCATGGAAAGTCCTCTCTGAAGCCTCATGTGCCACTAGGCATAACGAGAATTGAAACATTAAAAAAAAACTATAACGTTTGTGCGTGGCATCCTGATATTACGGTGCGCCTCCTGGCTGGTTGCCTCCGACTTCAGCACCTAATTTTAATTATTCTGGTAAGCTAGACTGACGTACTGGCTGTCATATTCTGTTCTTTATCTCTGTGATACATCTTCCGTCGTATGTTATACAGCATATAATATGGTAATTTACTTTAAGTAGCTCGTGACTAGGCATGAAACAACAGTCAATTATGTATATGCCATCTATCACACACAGCTTAATACCACATCTTATGTTTGTGTCTGTCGGCAGTGTACTGTGTACAGATCTCGTGTTAGTTTACACAGTGAATTATGTGCTTTTTTTTTTTTTTATCCTAGAACGCATATGGTGTACTTATTCCATTCGTGAAGACATAAACTCCTTCTTTTTCTTCTTCTTTGCGTTCGGTTTCGTATGCTCAGATCAGACCATAAAGTGGTTTGCCTCTGCGAACTCGCATGTCAGTAGCAGGTCTTTCGTGGTTCCCCATAGCTTGCTCTGCACACTTTGCTCTTGGGGCCAGGTGTCCTTTTTGAAGTTGTATATAACGTGGGCAGGTCTGCATAATGTGCTCAGATGTTATAAATAAACAGAGGAGGAACCCTTGAAGCCGTATAAATATTATAGATATATATTTTTTATATAAACCGGCACTTATAGAAAGAAGTAGAAAGATAGACGGACACGCTAGAGAACACAAAAATCGAAAGCTATAGTTACCGTGCGGGGAATCGAACCTGTCACTTTCAGATGGCGTGTGCGCCTCTTTATGGAAACAAACGTACTATCTTCTATCTTTCTTCTTCTTTCTATAAGTGCCAGTCAATACACTGTCTCTTTCTTAATTATATATTCGTGAAGACAATACCTTCTCCAGACATTTAGTGAAGTTGAATACAGCGTTTATTCATCTTTTGTACTAGGTCTGGGATAGATAGCTTTTGTGTTGAGAGCCAACGTACCGAAGTACTCTTGTGTGGCGACCAACCCCCCCCCCCCCCCCCTAAATGTTCAATGTTATCACTGAAAAAGTTAACATACATGGGACCTGTTCACGTTTACAGGCCCATGATTAGAGTAACTTCCCTTGCCATTAATGTCTCCTTAGGTCGCTGGACTTCTCCTACGTTGCGGGGATGTTATGATATGCCTTGGTTTGGCTTTCGCTCGACGCATGCAATTTTTGTGAGAAGTTTTGTTGTTGTGAGTTTATTTCAGGTGCCGCAGGTACCTGTGTACAAGTACGAATTACTGCAGGGGAAGCGCCGCAGGTGCGACGATTTTGGGCTATCGAAATTGGGATATTTATGTATTTCTACGTTCGCTGGCGATGGTTTTCACCCGAGAAAAAGAAAGCAGTTAAAAAAAAGCGTAGGAATAGAAACATACTGCTGTTTCTATACTCCCGGATTGTCGCGCAGATAGCAGAACGTGAAAATAATCATGCTAGCGAGCCGTGGGAAGACGAGAAAAGAGGCAGCGGTTAAACTGTTAACAATAAGGAAAACATGACTCCCCCGCAACATAGGAGGGGTCCAGCGACCTAAGGAGGCATTATTAGCAAGCGAAGTTACTCTAATCCCGGGCTTGGAAACGTGAACAACACCCACACCTGTTAAGTAGTGCTAATCCTTACGACACTACCCCCTCCCCCTTTTCCTCCCTTTAATAAATTCTTTTCCCCCTCTGCTGCTGGTTGAGCTGCTGACGCCCTTGCGTTGTCAGTTGGCATGTGCCAGCAATCGGTTTCCAATGTGGCTTTCAGGTTCAGACCAAAATTCACTTGAAAATTTGGTGCGGATTCCAAGTTGTTCAAATTTTAAAGCGTTCAAATTCGGAGGTACCATTTATTATGAATAAACGTATCCGACTTATAGCAGTATACAATAAATTACAATGATGATAATCTTGTTCGTAACAATCCTGTTATGGTTTGGATAGATATTACAGAATAATCCTTTTATTAATAGTTATTTTATCGCTGGATAACAGTGAATAAGTTATCCCAAGTGATACATTATATTGATGGCGACTTCAATAACACGCGGGTTGCTGAAAGATAATGCAGCATTTGTGCACAAAATCACACAAACGAACATCAGAACAAGTATACAGAGGGAATGCTGCATTTCGAAACGGACGATTTATTATTTAAGCTCATTTCCTTCGCGAAGTAAAAACTCTTGTGATATTCGTATGAACAGCACAATTCTAAAACCACGAGACTGTATCAATAGCGCCGTAACAGTCAGCCTTATAAAACTATCTGGATGTATACAGTTTAAGAGCACGTTTGCTAAAGCAACGAGCATACGCTTCTCTTCACCTAGTAGTGGAAATATTAGTTCTGAGCAAAAATTAAAATTTGATCACAGCAGCTCTGAAGGGATATTGTCGCCGCCGCCTAAGACAGCACCAGAAACATTTGACAACTATCAAATAGCATACGGGAGAAAATCTTCGTTTGAGCTTCTTCGTGTGTTTGGTTTTTTCTTCTTGTGCAGATTTTCGTTTTTCACGGACAACGCAGTTAAGGTAAACAATGTCTGGTAAATTTCCATGTTGCTGTTTTTAAAAATTACTCATGTGAACGTATTAACTATTTCATCATCATCATCGTCATAAAAAACTACTCCCGTGTTGGTTACGGGGCTCCCAGTATAGGGGAAACAAGAATAGAGCCACTGCCTCCCCAACAACCATGTCGTAGGATTCGTCTAATTGGGAGCTTCCTTTATAGTCTGAGTGCATCTGCCCGAGCGGCAAGGAACAACCACTGCACAAGAATAAGACAGTAAAACGGATGTACATGCAAAACTCAGGCCCCGGTACAAAGCCAAAGTCCAAATGGACTAACAACCAGGACTTTCCGCCAGAGCTTACAGCTGGTGAACAACGAAGAAGAAGAAGACAAACCACTTCAGCCGTTAAGTGTCATGGGGAGGAATAATATGCGATCCATTGCATGAAATAACAAATGCTCTCTGTATACGTCTATCCACAGATCATGGGGATATGTTACAGAATTCTCGGACAGAAGATGGCGGAGGCTGTTATCAAAAAGGCAGTTTACGATCAGTTTGTGGCTGGCGAGGCTACTGATGACGTCAAAAGAGTGACACATCAGCTACGCCAAGGAGGCGTGGCTTCAATTCTCTGTGTTCCCATAGAAACAGATGACCGGCTCAGCACTGGGTCAGTGTGAAATTTCTTTTAAATGAGATCTCTGTCTCTCTCCATAACTTTTCGCAGCAAGCATGAGGTTCTGTAGCGCCAGAGACCCCCTCCCCCTTCAATGAACTCTTAAAACACCTGCGCTTCCTAACTAGTGACCATCGCTTTAGTAATACAGAAACTAAACAGCGTGTTAAAGTAGAAATTTTGAGATAGTGCTTCTTTCCTGTTGCAACAAGTAGGTGTGAGTCAGGGATTCTTACTAAATCATTTGGAGGGAAAATATAGGGCTTCTGGTGGGGGGAAGTTCTTAGAATACCTTGGACGAGAAAGAAGAAGAAGAAACCCTACTTGATCCGAGCACTGGGGAGAACTAACAGTACCAATTAATAGCCCGCCGGTCTCCCCCTACCCCCCCCCCCCCCCCCGTGTTCAAAATCTTTAAGAACCTCTGCTGACCTTCCGATACCCCGGTGAATTAATCTTTTAATATTTTCCCCGTGTGGGTTCCGTGGCCCTATTATAGGAAAAACAAGAATAGACCCACTGCCTACCCAAAAGCATGTCGTAAGAGTCAACTAATTGGGAGCTTCCTTCGAAGTCGGAGTGCATTTGCCTGAGAGGCAAGGAACCAGCATTCTGTACACAGATGAGTCAGATCTGTCAAACAGATGCACATGCAAAACTCAGGTTCTGGAACAGGACTGCGGTCCAGAAGTGGACGAACAACCAGAACTTTCCGCCGGAGCTTACAGCTGGTGAACGTGAAGAAGAAGAATCTTTCAACATAAGGATTCTCTGCATGGTCTGTTACACCGTCCATTTGATCTCAGAGATCTTTCATCACGACTACTTTACCAAAAAAGAGGCTCACTGCCTAGAGGAGCAGTAGCAACCAATCTATCAGCCTGCTAATTAACTAGCACACCCGAATCTCCTGAACAAAAAAATCAATTATATGCTCCCAAATTGAGTCTTATCAAGTGACGCGACAAGTGGCAACAGTTTCAATTGTTCGAAGCATTCTCTGCGAGTATATGCTAGCTGATGCGGCTACATTCTAACGAGATGAACAACACATTTGATGAATGTTGAATGAATGTTGAATTAAGAATTGACATCATATAACAGGGCACTCCCATAGGCGCGCCGTCCCTACCTTCAGCGGCAAACAAAATTAAAATTCTGATGCTAGCAGCAACTGTTTGATTGTACATCCGTCTTGCCTTTCCTTTGAGTGTTGAGCGTCGGCCAGACCCTCTGGTAATTCCTGCAGCGCCAATCTCCTTAGATCGTAATAATTTATTTGTCCCTCAGGGCTGCTCACTAGCTCCCAAAGAACCCTCACAACTTCTAATTTGGTATAGATCAATTTACCATCAAGTGATGCAGAACCGGCTACTCTATCTGGCTGCTCGTTTCACACCACACCAGCATAACCTGGATAAAATATCCAAAGGACGCAAACTACCCGTGACCTCTAAAGTGATGCTTTGATGAGCTTCAATCAGTGAAAAGAAAGTCCTGCTTTGGCGGGAGTTCGAATCTATTACCAGCTGATCAGCAGGCAAAGCGACTAACCACTTTGCTGACCCTACTTGCTTTCGCCATTCACAAGAACATATTTCTAACCTCTGTTATGTAAAATATTTGTAATTCTAACTGGCAGGAAATCCAAGGATACATTTTTGAATGCGAATCTGGAGAAAGTGCTGGCTAGTATTCAACTGTGTACAGAGCTGGGGGAATCCTTGGCCGTGACTCAGTTCCGGATTTCTGCTCTCGTAGCCGGCGATTTGATGGTAGCTACAATTTGCTACGTTTAGAGAGAGAGAGAGAGAGAGAGAGAGAGAGAGAGAGAGAGAGAGAGAGAGAGAGAGAGAGAGAGAATGAGAGCGAGAGATAATACAGAGATAGTGAGAAAGATAACAGAATGTGACACACAAAGATAAGAGAGAGGCATAAAATACAAGAGTGAGAGAGAGAGAGAGAGAGAGATACAAGAGTGTGAAAGTGAGAGATAAAATGGTGGGAGATAGATACAAGATAAAGATGTATATTTAAAAGAGATGAAGAGGAAGAAATAGGGAGAGAGAGATAAAAAATCAGATATATATAACCAGGTAAGCGACAGATTCAAGAGAAGGTCGGAGAAAAAAAAACAGAAAAAGGGGAGGACAGACAGCTCAAGATTAAACCGAGATAATAAATACAAAAAAAAAGTACAAGAAATGTTTTCTTGAATATACTATTCCAAAATATATTGTGACTATTACAACCTCTAACATACATGATTTGTCTGTAGAAAATTATCAGTGATTTTTGTGACCAAACAACGCATAATGTGGAGGTTATTACTGGCATGTTGGACGCTATGAGAGGGTGTGACATGAACTTCTCTAAGGTATGTGAATTTATCTCTAGAGTATATAAACTTCTCTGGGGTACGTGAATTTCTCTGGTGTATGAAAACCTATCTGGGATACGTGTACTTCTCTGGGGTATGTGAATTTCTCTGGGGTGCGTGAAAATCTATGGGGTATGTGAATTTCTCTGGTCTATGTGAAATTCTATTGGGTATGTTAATTGCTTTGGTGATAATGAACCGAGGAGCGGCTGGCCCTACGGTTTGGACGCTGGGCTCTCAAGCGGGAGACCTGGGTTCGAATTCTAGGTAAAGCTGGCGATTTTTCTGTCAGGGGAAAAATAAAAACCTCAAATGCATAGCCGTGTGCGACATCACTAACCACGCGACCGTAATCCTCAGTTTCGACCCCCCCCCCCCACCCCCATCAACCCCTTCCTGCCAACACTGCAAAAGTGGTATAATAAAGGCAATAATTGGCAGTATATGAACTTATCTGGTGTATATGAACTTCTCTAGTGTAAATGAACTTCTTTTATATATGTGAACTTATGTGGTGTATATGAACTTCTCTAGTGTATATGAACTTCTCTGGTGTATGTGAATTTCTCTAGTGTATATGAACTTCTCTAGTGTATATGAACTTCTCTGGTGTATATGAACTTCTCTAGTGTACATGAACTTCTCTGGTGTGTATGAACTTCTCTAGTGTATATGAACTTCTCTGGTGTATATGAACTTCTCTCATATACTTCTCTAGTGTATATGAACTTCTCTGGTGTATATGAACTTCTCTAGTGTATATGAACTTCTCTGGTGTATATGAACTTCTCTGGTGTATATGAACTTCTCTGGTGTATGTGAACTTCTCTAGTGTATATGAACTTCTCTAGTGTATATGAACTTCTCTGGTATATATGAACTTCTCTAGTATATATGAACTTCTCTGGTGTATATGAACTTCTCTAGTGTATATGAACTTCTCTGGTGTATATGAACTTCTCTAGTGTATATGAACTTCTCTGGTGTATATGAACTTCTCTCATATACTTCTCTAGTGTATATGAACTTCTCTGGTGTATATGAACTTCTCTAGTGTATATGAACTTCTCTGGTGTATATGAACTTCTCTAGTGTATATGAACTTCTCTAGTGTAAATGAACTTCTCTAGTGTAAATGAACTTCTCTAGTGTATATGAACTTCTCTAGTGTAAATGAACTTCTCTTATATATGTGAACTTATGTGGTGTATATTAACTTCTATGGGGTATGTAAATTTCTCTGGTGATTGTGAATTTCTCTGGTGTATGTGATCTTCTCTTGTTTAAATGAACCTCTCTTGTGTATGTGATTTTTTTGGTGTATGTCAATTGCTCTCGGATATGTCAGTTTCTCTGAGGTATTTCTTTCTGGTATTTGAATTTCCCTGGGATATGTGAATTTCTCTGGGGTATGCGAATTTCTTTCTGGTATGTGAATTTCCCTGGAGTATGTGAATTTCTCTGGGGTGTGTGAATTTCTGAGGTATGTGAATTTCTGAGGTATGTGAATTTCTTTCTAGTATTTGAATTTCCCTGGGGTATGTGAATTTCTCTGAGGCATGACGACAACATGTCTTCCACCAGTTAGACACTGTCGGGATTTGGTGACAGCAAATTCGAATCATGAAATGCCGTTACCTTTCAATATTTATATTGTCTAGAGTGTAATCTATTCTGTACTTCTTTAATATACTTTAAGGGTTAAAAAAAGTAAAGTAAAGTAATACTTTAAAAAACTCCAAACAGTAACTGAAAACGTAATTCTTATGCTAAACTTTTAATAATCTACTTCTTCTTTATTCACCGGCTGTAAGCTCCGGCGGAAAGTAGTCGTTATTCGTCCATTTAGACTGTGGCTTTGTGCCAGGGCCTGAGTTTTGCTTGTACATCTGTTTTAAGTGGCTTATTTCTTTGCAGTTGGTTGTTCCTTGCCGCTCAGGCAGATATACTCCGACTTCAAAGGAAGTCCCTATCAAATTAGTTAACTCTTATGACGTTGCTTGTTGGGAAGGCAGTAGGTCAGTTCTTGTTTTCTCCCACAATAGGGTTCCGGAACCCACACGGGGAACTTTAATAATATCTTCGCAAAAGAAAATTCCTTCGAAGTGTTGTTATTTTAAATAGTTTTCTTTGCTTAACGTACTAAAACTGGCCATTGACGTTATAACACTTTACTATTTGTGTATTTTCACAGTTGCCAGGCTGGGCGGATTTTCCACAAGAGAGAACAGAAGAACTAAAGAAAGGACTTCAACGGCTCGGCAAGATCCAAAAAGTAAGTGGCCAATGTGGCGACCACACAAAGAAAACATTAACGGGGGTCAGTAAGCATTGCTATCTTAACGCACTGGCCTGCTGGGTACGTGCCCCACAAGCACAGGAGCCCCATACTACATTATGTTTATGTCGATGGGTTTCCTTGGGCCCCAGAACACTGGTTTGTCCAGGGGCCTCTTACGACGGCTCGGCGGGGTGGGGGGGGGGGGAGCCTCAGTCTCCTTATAATTTACTGGAGGTTGGGGCCGGAGGAACCTAATCCTTTTTTGAGTGCTTAATACTAGTATGCACCTGACAAGGTGCAGCGAAATATACTAAATATAATAGAATGTGCCGTCTATTGTTTGTTGAATGTTGAATTAAGAATCGACATCATAGCACTCGGGACACTCCCATAAGCGCTCCGACCCCACCTTCAGCGGCAAACGGAGAGTTCCAATTCCAGCAGCATCAGTAACTGTCTGATTGTGTATCCGTCTCGCCTTTCCCTTGAGTGTTGAGCGTCGGTCAGATTCCGTGGTAATTCCTCGCAGCGCCATTCTCCCCAGATCGTCTATTGTTTGTGTCTTCTTTGTTCAAATACTTGAATTCTTTTATATATTAATTATACGCAAACTACTTTTTTTTTTTTAAATTAGGCACTGGAGGATCGAGATGTCATTGTGTTGATAGACGCAGAGTACATGAGAATCAATCCAGCCCTCCGTTTGTTGTCTCTGTGCCTGATGAAGGTCTGTAATACCGGATACGCCAAGATCTTCTACACCTACCAGGCTTACCTCAAGGTAACCAGTGGTGTCTGTTGGCAATGTATTAAGAATTATCACCATAGCGCACCGCTCATATCGATAGGTTCTCAGTCTCCTGAAGCAAATGTCTCAAGAGGGTTCACGTTAGGTCACGCTTTTTGCCCTAGGCTCTTCAGGTCGTGGGTTCGCTTCTCGGACGCGTCGTTAAATTCACGAGTGCAGTTTTGATGAAGATCCATGGAAATGGTTCTGGAGCTGCGGGGTTCATGCTCTATGCGACACTCTCGGCAGGCGGTTATCTGTTTCTAGGAGAGTATATAGGATAACACAAGGCGCAGTTAAGGCGGTCGTCGGCGACCAGCTCACCTTTTGGCACGCCGGTAGACGACTTCGTCGCCGGTCAGGACAGTATTTGCGCCTGTCTCCTTTGATCGAGTCAACACTGCAGGAGTCCTTTTCATGGCTCTTGGTGGCCTGCAATGCTAAGCAATTTTATATATAGCGCACATTACTTAGTCATAATTATAACCTAAAGCTCCCCCTTCGGGGATGCTGGCTGAACGTGCCGATTTCCTCCTCCCCCCCCCTTCCCCCCCGCAAAGCAAGCCAGTCCAAATGAAGTCAATCTTCTCAAGTTTAACTTTGCTCCACAATTTGTAAAATCCGGGAATCTATTAATCAAGCGCAGACTCCACAATAAAGGTTGGCTGCACGGCCATCTCCAGTTATATCTAAAGATGGCCGTGGTTGGCTGTAATGAATGTCCAACACGCTCTGTCTCTCGCCCTGGTTGTATACTAGCAGACGATTGTTTGTCCATCTCTTGATAGTATCATCTCACTTGTAGCGCTGTCTACCTTTTGATCGCCTATCGTCGAAGTTTCCTTCTTCCTCTTCTTCTGTTCCCTTCTAACCCTCAATGGAGCATAGACCCTCAACCAATTCACACCAAGTCGTTCTATCCTTGGCTATCACATGCAGCTCTCTCCATATTTTTAATTTCACACTCTAGCTCCTTCTAATTCTTCTACTAGAAGAGCTCTCCTCTCATCTTGATTGGGTATTTCTTGTTTCTCTTTCTGACTTGTTTTTTTTGGCTATTGTTTTTTTTTAGTAGCCAACTTACAGCGCAACCTTACCCCTAGTCGCCTCTTACGACATGCCTGGTAGGGTCGTATAGTCTTTGTTAGCGTTGTGTGCGTGTGTGGTTTTATTTTAGTTTAATGTGACCGAAATATTTCACTTATCTTGTATTTCTTAGAAAGTTGGTAGAAATCGTTAGAAAATCGCACTTAACCTCCGTCACCTGGATCTACACACCTTGTCATGTAAACGGCCATGAGCGGGAAGTAATGCAGGAGGGGAGATCATGGGCAGAGCAGATATCATCAACGCTGTACCGACTGAGCTAGTGGCTAATGTCTAATCTCTCACACTAACTCCATAGCATGACCTGGGAATAAGGCAATGTGAAGCACTTCTGTGCGACCTTCGAGGCCGAGATAGGATACATTATAACCAACCTCTTATGGAAACAACTAGAAGATTTACCTTAGAGTGGCTGCTGCATGGGAGGACAGAGTACGCATGGGTATGTGCAGTGAGGTCAACTAATAGTTTAACATAACATAACATAACAGGTCAAACAGTGCTCGCAGTTTTTTCCCCGCCTCAGTCCGTTCTGTCTTGCGAAATCTTTTAAATCCATTCATCCATTTTTGAAAAACAAAACAATTAATCGGCTTTAACCTTTAACCTACTGCGAATGGTATCGGTTATAATCATGGTCTGGTTTTTGTGTGCCAGTTATGTTGGCTGAGACATGTTATTGCACCAAAACTAGTGGCTTGAACCGGTACTCCAGTACCTGGTGACGGTTGTTGGGTAGTGGGCTGATATGCAAAATTCACACCCAATCACACATATTGACATACATGTACAAATACACACACGTGAAACACACACACACACACACACACACACACACACACACACACATATATATATATATATATATATATATATATATATATATATATATATATATACTTACACACACACACACACACAAAACATACATACACCTCTGCACCCTCAGGCATTTTCGTTGACCGGACTTGTTTCAAGCGCACTTTCATGAGAGAGACGTTCTGTAAGGCAGGCTTGTCAAACTGAGGGTCCCACGAAGGCCATATTGGTCACACTTTGTCACCATCAATGCCCCACACAACAACGAATTGGAGCTATTTAATAACAAGTATTGAACAATATTTCGTTTGGCCGGTGTGCTTGCAAATGGCCGCCAGTTAGATATGCCTGTTTGTAAAAGAGCAGATACTTAAATAGAATGGAGTCCCAGTTCAGGCACATTTGGCCTGTCTCATCAATATTCTTCGCGAGGTATCCCTTGGACATTTGTGCTTCCCCAATCAAATTATTTCCCATTTCAGTGTCCTTGGTGATGCTCTGTCAGTATCTCTCACAGGATTTCCTCAATTTATCGAAATCATATTTATCTTATAACTTTTGATACCAGTGATTGTTCATGTTTCTCTCTTGTTTGTCACCTTCCTCGAGCATACATTTTAGACAATTCTTATTTTTAATATTTTACTTATCTCCCTGGCGTTACGAGTTAAGAACCGACATCACAGCACTCAGGACACTCCTATAATTGCTATGTCCTCACCTTCGGCAGCAAGCGCAGAGTTCCAGTTCCGATGGTACCAGTAAAGGTCTGACTGTATGTCTATCTCGTCCCTTGCCTGGCTTTTGAGCGTCGACCAGAGCCCCGGGTCACTTCTCGCTGCACCATTCCGTTGATTTATATGTGCCCCTGAACTGTTCACTCGTCCCAAGGGCCCTTACCTCATCTGGCTGGTCACACATCAGTTTACTACCAAGTTGTGCAGACACTGCCAATCCATCTGCCTGTTCGTTGGTGTTCTGCTCCATGCTATTGATTGTAGATATGCAAGCTATCTCTTTTTCTTTTCTTACAGGCAACTCGAACAAACTTACAGCAAGATTTGACGTTTGCTACGAACAACGGCTTTAGCTTCGGGGTAAAGCTAGTTCGTGGCGCTTACATGGTCGCTGAAAGACAGCTGGCCCGAGAGATGGGGTATCCCGACCCAGTCAATGAGACATTTGAGCTCACCTCGGCTAGCTACCACAGCTGCCTTGATCTTCTGCTACAGCATGTTGCAACCAAAGGTCCTCCTAGCAGGGTTCGGTTTATGGTCGCCTCACACAATGAAGATACCATCAGATACGCCATGGACAGGTGGGTGATAATGCTACAGGGAAACGATATCAATCCAGAGAAAAAGTAGAGCTAGTCAGGTAATCAGGCAATCCCAGTTTCAACTACATACAAAACAGGTCACCCCATGATTGATCCACAGCCTTCTCTATCTTGGGCTGTGGGGCTGATGATGTCAACTTGACGTGATGTCACCACCCAGGGCCAATGATACGTTCTGTTTTCACTCTTAGTCCTGTTTTTACAGTGTGTTCCCGGCCCTGAGACCCCCCCCCCTCTTTGTTTTTTCCAAATGTCTATGAATAAGCTTGATAACAGAACGTGTATATAGGTATGCACACATATACAAACTAAAAGGGAACACGAGAAATACATTTTAATATTAATTATTTAGTATGGTTTATACAATTGAAAGGCTTATATAATCTTATCTTCTTAAAATGTATTAGTTCCTTAATTAAAAGTAATAATAATACATTCTAGAATTTGTACCGGCGAAGGCATTGGTTGATCCGATCCTGTGGCAACAAACATCACATAGAATGTCCATTAGTGTGCCCTTGCGGGAAAAAAAAATTGGACACCGACTGCAGTCTCAGCAAAGTCAACAACCTAGACACATTAAATGCACACGACAGAAGTCAGAGGTGCCAACACAAACAGACCACTCTTAGAACTGCAGGTCGCCATCAATAAAAGCAGTAATTACAACAGAAAGAAAAGCTACAAGTAATATCGCAGCAGTTGCCGTGGCAACAGGCCTTTTGCCATTTTCTGAATCCTGAGTTCATAATAGAAACCTTAGCCACCTACACACAGGAGAGAATTTAAAAAAAAAAAAAAGTAAAGATCCCTTTTCACGCCTTTCGGCGCTTCGGGCATATGGGCAGAGCGTCCCATATTTTTTTACAGACCAATCGGCACTCGGTGGGTAATGTGGTCAGCATTACGCCGGTTAGAGATGCGGTAAATAATGTACGAAATTTGGATGGATTACAAGACATCTACGAGAAGCAGGGTTTAACAAATAATGGTTGAGAACCGATGCTTGTGGCTGGTTAAGTTGGCTGTTGGTTGCTGGATTTGTTGGTTAGTTGAACAATTGCCTGGCTGGTTAGTTGAACAATTGCCTGGTTGATTAGTTAAACAATTGCCTGGCTGGATAGTTTAACAATTGCCTGGCTGGTTAGTTGAACAATTGCCTGGCTAGTTAGTTAAACAATTGCCTGGCTGGTTAGTTGAACAATTGCCTGGTTGATTAGTTAAACAATTGCCTGGCTGGTTAGTTGAACACTTGCCTGGCTGGTTAGTTGAACACTTGCCTGGCTTGTTAGTTGAACAATTGTCTGGCTGGTTAGTTGAACAATTGTCTAGCTGGTTAGTTGAACATGCCTGGTTGATTAGTTAAACAATTGCCTGGCTGGTTAGTTGAACACTTGCCTGGCTGGTTAGTTGAACAATTGTCTGGCTGGTTAGTTGAACAATTGCCTGGCTGGTTAGTTGAACAACTGCCTGGCTGGTTAGTTTAACATTGCCTGGCTGGCTAGTTGTCTATTTGATTGGTTGGCTGGCTAGTTGACCAACAGGGTTGGAACTAACTTGTTGGTTCCTTATTTGGTTGATTGGTTGCTGACTAACTGCCAAGCTTTCTGATTAGCTGGTTCGTTTTCTGACTGACTGGTTGGCTGATGTTAATAGTGAATCTCTCTGGAATTTAATATGGTACTAGGGAATCCCAGAGAAACTTGCTAACTTGGTAAAGGCAACACATGAAGACATGAAATGTCGAGTTCTTCATGGGGGAGGGCTAACAGATACGTTTGAAATATAAACATGTGTGCGACAGGGATGTCTTTTGTCGCCTTTTCTATTTTTACTGAAAATAGATTAGATTATGAAGACAGCAGCTGCTAACACCAGGAATGGAATTCAGTGGACCTCTACAAAACAGCTTGATGATCTGGACTTCGCTGATTTTTCTCTGCTGTCCCAATCACGGAATCAGATGCAAGACAAATTAAATATTCTTGATGCGAGATCACAATAGTTAAGTCTGAAAATCCATAAGGGAAAGACAAAGATAATGATAATAAATCAGACAAATAATAGCGTGGTTTCTCTCAATGGAACCCCTCTCTAAGACGTGGAGTCGTACATCTATTTGGGCAGTAATGTAAAGATGGAGGAACTGATGGAGATATTAAAATCGAATACAAAGGGCAAAAGCAGCTTTCCTAACACTAGGAAACGTGTGGAGGTCAAAAGGAAAAAGAAAGCTAATACTAAACTTAAAATCTTTAATTCTAATGTCAAGTCAGTACTATTGTATGGAGTGGAAACATGAAGAACAACTAAGGCAATTAATTACTAGTAAACTACAAACAAGCGTTAACTGGTGCCTGCGCATATTTCCATGGCGTGTATGCGTGGCATCCTAATAGCTGTGGTGCGCCTCTTGGCTGGTTGCCTCCGACTTCAGCACCTTGTTTTGCTAGGGTAGACTGTGATCATACTCGAGGAGAGTAGGCTCATCCATTCGTCTTTCGCCTTTACCTCGTTTGTTGTCCCATCCAGTTTCCCGCTGGGGGTTGAGACCCCAACCTTCAACTGGATTGCTGGGAAGAACAGGGTCCACCACGTGAAGGTGAGGTAGGCTTGAGCAAGAGAGGCTAATAGACATTAAGAGTCTTGTATTGCGCATCATTGCTCCATTAGGACCCGAAGAGTCGTAATGCAGTGGATACCGTCTCATTGTGGAGTGCCTGGAAATGAGAAAGCTGATCAACTGGCAGGGGAAGGTACGACAAAAGAGCAGCCAGATGTACCAGTCACATACCACCAAAAGAAAAGAATCATTAAATCATCAGGAAACCACCAGCCCCAGCACAAGACGACTATTTTATTATGGACAGACCAGAACAAGTCATTATCTTCCGCCTCAGAACAGGGCACAACTGATTACGTAACCAGATGTACACACAATTCAAGATAGGTGTATCAGCCATCTGCACCTGTGGAAAGGTGCTCCAGACAGCAGAGCATGTACTCCAAGACTGCACCGAATTTGACACATTAAGGCAAACCTTTTGGACAGAAAGAACAACAGTGGAACTTAAACTCTATGGACCACTGAATGAACTAACAACGACAGTGAAATTTATACAAGAGACAAAACTGCTGATATAGATAACTTATTTCAGGCGAACGAAAGAAGAAGAAGAAGAAGTGCCTGCGCAGAATAGAGGGAATTAAATGGTATGATAGAATCACTAATATAGAGCTTTGCGAGAGAACAAAACAAGTTCCAGTGGACCAAGAGGTGAAGATGAGGCTCTGACATTGGATAGGACGCACGTGAAAACCTGGGAACATTATAATTAAAATAGAAATAAAGGAATACCAAAAGGCGCACGGAGAAGGGAGATAGAGAGTGGAGTTAAAAATATGATTGGGGGGGGGGTGCATGGGGTTAGGAGCATGTGATAGCAAAGGATAGAACGACTTGGCGTGAGTTGGTTGAGGGCTTATGCTCCGTTGGGGGTTAGAAAGGCAGAAGAAGGAGATGAAGTTGGCTGACTCGCTGACTATGAGGTGGAGCGGTCACTTGTCTCGCTCACAGCCCTCCCTCGCTCGCAGATTTTCCTCTCTTAAATCATTTCTAGAAATTATCTGTTTTAAAATTGGATGAGCCTGGGTTGATTTCAAAACTGCACGCTACGTAGACAAATCGCACTATTTATGAGTACCGAAACCTGACCACTGAGTCAGGATTTAATCTTTGACCAATAGACGTGAACTAACTTTTTTAGAATTCTGGTAAAACAACCACAATAATCTTTATCAGATTATATTTCTGTGTAATAAATAAATCGCAAATCCGCAGAATGAACGACCTGTGTATCCCAAAAGATGACCCAGATGTGTTGTTTGGACAGTTGTACGGAATGGCAGACCACGTGTCTTTTACATTAGGTAGGTTTCCGTGCAGATAGCCAAAACTGCTAATCATTATCACATGCCGTGCCGGTAGGCGTAGGCTGCCACGTTTCGCCATTTCACACGATCCCCCAAAATATGAATCAGGTCAATGTTCTTGTCTCACCTCATCCGTACTGCCAGGCCATTCAAGTATATATATATGCCTTCCTCTTGCTCTTTTTCCAACAACTTTGTTGGTTGTTACCGAGTTCTCGAGTCATTCCTTCCCATAACGTGTCCAAAAGCACTGACTGTCCCAATATGTTTACGACTTTAATCTCCTCAATGGCGAATGCTTAGCTTGTTTTTCTATCCCTTCATGATAGTCTGCGCATTTCTCTTAAAAACCTCTGCCGCAAGTAAATGTTTTTCAATTTGCCTCATATGCATATACCAAAAAAGGTTCTATTTTAACATTACACTTCAACACTATTTTTTCTCACAGCAGTTGACAACCTCAATTCTTATTAAGATTCCTGACCCAAACATTGCATAACTGCGCTTTCATTCATTCATGCTTTCTTACCTGTGACACAGGTTATTTTATGTTACATAGGTGTCACGTCATCTTCTTCTTTCTTCTTTGTGTTCACCAGCTGTACACTCTGGCGTAAAGTTCTGGTTGTTCGTCCACTTCTGGACTGCAGTCATGCTCCAGAACCTGAGTGTTGCATGTGCATCAGTTTTACAGATCTGATTCAATTGAATGCAGACTGCTGGTTCCTTGCCTCTCAGGCAGATGCACTCCGACTTCAAAGGAAGCTCCCCAGTTAGTCGACTCTTACGACATGCTTTTGGGGAGGCAGTGGGTCTATTCTTGTTTTCCTCACAATAGGGCCCCGGAACCCACACGGGGGTCACGTCATCTTGACTCTGATGCTATCAATGACGATGATGCACTACACAACATAATGACACCACTTCCAGAACATACAGAACTGGCTCCCAACCCCCCTACCCTACAGCCTCAGTCTAGATCCTATGAGAGAGTCCACAGTACATCCCATGGTTTCAGAACTGTCAACATTTTCAGCTGCGCCCTAAAAACCTGTCTTGCTGCAGAAAAGCAATGCTCTTCATCTTGTCGCTCGTCAAAGCTGACAGCTGACCTAGATACATGTCGCACCAAAACTCCGTAATATATGCAATGTCGACGCCTGCTGGCAAAGAGTAAAACACTGCATAGCTCGCCGCCTATACAACACACAATACAGAAAGCTCTTCGCCAACACAAGACAATGTGACAAACCTCTAACATAGACTAGCTCGTGTCACAGGTGAGAACGCAAGAATGAAAGCTCAATTACGCAACATTTGAGCCAGACATCGTAATAAGTTCCACATCTTCTTTTTTTTTGTATGAATCGTTTGCATCTTGTTAAAGGCCACTTTTGCCAGGATGATTCTTATTCTAATTTCTACAAGGCATCTTGCGTCAGATGTTACAACTGTTCCTATTCCATTATTTTGCATTTTGCTGTTTGTGTGTATTTTAAACCGTGGTATTTCTTTTTGAATAGTCTTCTTTAACTTTATATGTACTTTACTTTCAACTAATCTATGATCCTGTAGTAGTCTGCTCCTGATACAGATTGGGCAACTTTTAAAGCATTTTCATTTCTTTAACTGATGAGGATTTAATCAATCAGATTCCAATCTGATATTACTGTCTGGACTTTCCCACGTCCACAATCTTCGCTAACGTTGACTACACCAGGTGTTTCCCCTAGTCATATCAGGCAACTTTGCCCAGTCTACTGGCCTGCCCCTCTTTCATTTTGTTTTCCTAATCCACATTTGCCATTAATCTATTTAAATAGGCCACGCACAACAAAAGTAAAATATTGTCAAGGAAGCAGAAGCAGAAGAAGGTCTAGTCTGAAAATTTGATCTTTTTCATATGCTATAACTGTAATTACAAATGTTTTTATTTTGTCATTTCACTATTAGTAGGTTGAAGTCTTAATTTTCTGTATTTGTCTTGCACTTCTCTGGTGGCCTGGGCAATGGATTTGTTAATCTTTCTGCAGGTTGCAGCTATACCATTTATCCACATCTTTTTTGGTCTTACTCATCATGATTGTAACTGACTCAGAAAGCATGCTGATGAATATCAGAACAGGTATGCTTCATGCAGAGTGGTATGCTTTTGCTGCGGAGGACACAGGTGAGGAGTATGGTCTGGATTTTTTCACTGGGAAATGCCTGTGTGTTAGGAAATGAACAGACGGACAGACTGGCTGGCTCTGCACAACTTGGTGGAATACTGATGCATGATAGAGCAGACATAGTGCCTTGTGGGAGAGCGTGTACAGTTTGGAGGAGCAGATGGATCACCACAGTCTGGTGAGATTGATGCAGAAGGGAGTGATGAGAGGTTCTGGCAGATGCTCGAGGCTCAGAGGAAAGGCGAGACGGACGTTTAATCAGAATACTACAGGCACCATTGGTTTTGAAACTCTTCACTGGCTACTGAAGATGGGGACAGAGTGCTTATGGGAATGCCCCGAGTGCTGTGATGTCAGTTCTTGAATAAAATAAAATCAAATCAATCTTGGTCTTCTTCTCGCCGTCACCCCCTTTCCCTCCCAATGTTCTGTTGTCACATTTGCAGTTTAGTGTGGCTGCATTGTCACTAGATGGCTAAACTATTTCATTCTTTGTCTGTCCATATAATTCAGACACCATCTTATTCCAGAATTCTCTCTATTGCTGGTATTCATAACCCTGTTCCTTCTTGTGTTGTTAGTGACCTCACGGAGACAACACATTTCACAGGTAGATTTACACACTAAATTAACTAAAGTTTTGCCATTTTGTAATAAACTTTCGCCTCACCAATAAGTTTTGTTCCCCTCCAGGTAACCAGGGTTACCGAGTATACAAGTCTGTACCCTACGGCCCAGTTCAGGAGACTCTACCCTACCTTGCCAGGAGGGCCCAGGAAAATAAAGCTATTCTGGTCAATGCCAGGAGAGAGCGGCAGCTTGTCGCCAAAGCACTACTAGACAGGCTAAGACTGACAGCTTAATTTAGGTGTCTTCAATATCTGGGCATGTTGTTATTTCTACTGCCCTAGATGGTGTTCTCTTTAAGCATTTTTAACCCAGAAAACAGTAGAAAGTAATAAATATTTATGAAAAGCCTGTACAACAATTACTAGTATCCCCATGTGGATTCCGGGACCCCACTGAGGGGAAAACTAGAATAGACCAATTGCCTCCCTAACAAACATGTCATAAGAGTTGACTAATTTAGAGCTTCCTTCAAAGTCGGAGTTCATCTTCCTGAGAGGCAAGGAATCACAAATCTGCATACAGTTAAGTCAAATCTGTTAAACGGATGTGCACGCAACCCTCAGGTACTGGAACAAGACTAAAGTCCAGAGGTGGACAAATGACCAGAACTTTCGGCCAGAGTTAACAGCCAGTGAACGCGAACCTCAGAACTATGTAATATCACCCTACGACTATCCCAGGGTTCTGCCATTTCTTCCTCAGTTTCTCTATTTCCTATCACAGTGCCTGTTTTATGATTCTTTGCTCATTTCTACTCAGAATATGACCTAAAAATGACCATCTTCTCTTGTCTATAACTGTTGATACTACTGACCACCTAGTTGATAGTACTGGTTGCCCAGTTGATACTACTGGTTGCCCAGTTGATACTACTGGTTGCCCAGTTGATACTACTGGTTGCCCAGTTGATACTACTGGTTGCCCAGTTGATACTACTGGTTGCCCAGTTGATACTACTGGTTGCCCAGTTGATACTACTGGTTGCCCAGTTGATACTACTGGTTGCCCAGTTGATACTACTGGTTGCCCAGTTGATACTACTGGTTGCCCAGTTGATACTACTGGCTGCCCAGTTGATACAACTCACCACCCAATTGATACTACTGACCACCCAGTTAATACTACTCACTGTCCAATTGATACTACTGACCACCCAGTTAATACTACTGACTGCCCAGTTGATACTACTGATTGCCTAGTTGATGCTACTGATTGCCCAGAGATTTCTCTTTTTTTTTTTTTTCACTTCTCTTGAATCCATCCTTCCCATGTGGGTTCCAGGGTCTCATTGTAGGTAAAACAAAAACATACCCACTGCCTCCCCTAACAAGCATGTCATACAAGTAAAAGTAGACTTAAGGAATGCCCAATGTGCAAAGACATTGATTGTGATAACAAAAGTCTACCAATTGGGAGCTCCCTTTGAAGTCGGATGCATCTGTCGGAGAGGTAAGGAACCAACAGTCTACATACAAAAAAGCCTGATCTGTGAAATGAATGTGCACACAACACGACTTAACAATGAGAGCCATACAACTTAACAATGGAGGCCACACAAAAATGATGATGATGATGATGAATGATGAAGACAAGATGTGATCATAAAAAATAACGATGGTAACATTTAATAATAACAATATAATACAATAACAACATTACTTCCAAAGACTGAATCTAAGTGGAACTTGGCAGTACAAAAATACCAGTTGCCTTAAATAAAAGAACATTGCTTCTTGTCTATGAGGTAATACAACGATGTCACATAAATTATGGGTCAGATTCTGAGTCATTTTGTGCTTGTTTTAGAAATGTTGGACAGCTCATTAACCAGTGTAATCAGTAACATAAAACCTTCTCAAATGAGAGCTGACTATGAACCAGTAAAAGGCATTCCATAGTTCTTGCTCTTCTTAGTGTTAGTCAGATGAAATTCAGTGGAAAGTTCTGGTTGTTTGTCCACCTCTGTACATTTGTCTTGTTCCAGGATTTGGAGTCTGCACGCATCTCTGTTTTACAGATCTGGCTTATTTGTGTGCAGACTGTTGGTTCCTTGCCTTTAAGGCAGATGCACTCCCAACTCGAAGGAAACACCCCTAATTAGTCACCTTTAATGACATGCATGTTAGTGGGTCTATTCACCTTATCTACACCCTCTCTCTTTCTCTCTCTCTCCTCTCTGTCGGGCCCTGGAATCTATTTTGGGGACACCAGATTCTGAGATGGAAAGACTGGACCAATCCTCGATATTTCTGTCTAGAGCAGTGGTTTCAGCTTTTTTCAGGGGATGTACCTGCCTTCAATGTATGGCAAGACCTCTCCCCCAGATGAAACAAATCACTGTTCCACAATCTATCGGTACCTCTTCCGTCAATGTTTGTGGCTTGACTTGTGAAATGCAGTTTCACAATCCTGACATACCGGGGTTTTGCAGATGTCTGTAGACAGTTTAGTAGCAGACCACTCTGTGCTGACTGTGGCAATGAATTAGCACCACATTCTCTTCTTCTTCTGTCTTCACTCTTATGGGTGCTGTGAACCCCCAGGTTCTGGTGCTGTGAATCCCCAGGTTCTGGTGCTGTGAACTCCCAGGTTCTGGTGCTCGGAACCCTCTAGTACTGGTGCTCTGAATTTCCACATTCTGGTGCTCTGAGCCCCTAGGATCTGGTGCTCTGAACACCCAGGATCTAGTGATATGAACCCCCAGGATCTGGTGCTCTGAACACCCAGGATCTAGTGATATGAACCCCCAGGATCTGGTGCTCTGAACACCCAGGATCTAGTGATATGAACCCCCAGGATCTGGTGCTCTGAACACCCAGGATCTGGTGCTCTGAACCCCCAGGATCTGGTGCTCTTGGTTGAAAACTGGCAGAAAATTAGGGAGAGAAAAGGTGAGGAAAGAAGATCTGATTGGAAAAAAAATATCTTTCCTATCCAATGCCCGAAGTAATAACAACATAACAATATATTTACCACAAACTTGAGGCATATCAAAATAAACAACTAAGCAGAATTCTGGGATATGTTGGCCAATGAACAACTGGGATGGAAAACAAAATGTTCATGAAAGGCAAACATTAACAAAGGAAGAAGATACAGATGGCCTGAAAACATTTGCAAAATGTCTTAAGACACTTTGGCAAAGATGATTGGCATATTTTTTTTTTAATTTTTAAAAAGATATGGGAACAAGGGGAAACCTGGAGAAGGACAGCAGAAAGAGAAATGAAGGAACGTAAAATGACAAGATACCAAAGGCAGAAAGCAGCAATGGAGATCATTTGTGAATGCTTGATACATCAACAGTAACAGGAAGAGAACTTAAATTGAATGTATTTACCTATTATAATTAATATAAAAATAAATAATGGAAAATCTGTGCTAACAAGTAATCATAACATACAATCAAGAGATATATAAAATAAATCCAGTATTTTGATTTCACATTTCTATTAAAGACAGGAAAAAATTATTTGAAATTATGAAATACAAAAACTTCAACAAAAACTATCTATTACCTGAATATATATTCTTCTTCTTCTTCTACTGCTGCTTCTTCTTCTTACTCTTCTTCTTATTCTTCTTCTTATTCTTATACTACTACTTATCCACTTCTTCTTTTTCTTCACCCACTTCTTATTCTACTTTATCCACTTCTTCTTTTTCTTTATCCACTTCTTCTTCTTCATCCATTTCTTCTGCTACTACTTCTTCTTCTACTTCATCCACTTCTTGTCTTTCTTTTTCTCTTTATTCATTTTTTGTTCCTTCTACTACTTCTTCTTCTTTTTCTGCCACTACTTCTACTTCTTCTTATTCTACATTTGCCTTTAAAAAGGCAGTTGGCACATTGCATTGTGGTTTACAGCTAAACTGTGATATGTACATCCTTTGGCCAAACAAACTCGACTTAAGAAAACCTTAAATTGCCTTTTATGACATGCTTGTTAAGGCAGTGGGTCTATTCTCAAGTTCTAGAACAAGACTAAAGATCAGAAGTGGACAAACAACCAGAACTTTCCTCTAGAGTTTACAGCTGGTGAACACAAAGAAATATAAAGAAAACAGTTTAAAGGAAAATTTAAAAAAAAATTGTTCAGAAGCTATTTCAAATCTATAAGATCGACGCTGTTATCTCCATCAAATACAAACCCATCATTTGAATAGCTGTTACCACTGTTGAGGTTGCCATCTTCTCTGTCTGTGCTCGGTTCAACGTGACTGTTTGGCGACCTCTGAGATAAGTCACCAGGTTTTTCCTCATCTTCATTCCTTGTTGGTTGCCCTGCAGTCAACTGTCTCAGAACCAACTTTTTGTAGACCCCATGTTGAGCCAGGAGTTCCTCATGTGTACCCATTTCTGCAATGTGGCCTCTGTCTATCACAATCACCTGGCAAAGGATTTTATCAGGAGATATTTTGTATGTTATTTCCATGTGTAGTTTCTTTAACAACTGACACTAAAAGCATATTATGTAACACATTATTTCTACCAACACTGTGCTACCAGTGCCACATGTGGACATTAAAAGCAGAATTTAAAAAAAAACAACATCAAAACAGTAGAAATGAAATGTCAATGACAAATTCTAAATGCAACTAGAAGAGACGAGATCAGAAATGACAAAATCATGAAAGAAGTTGGGCTGGAACCAGTATTAAACTACATCGAGAGACAACAGATCAAATGATTTGGATCTGTGTCAAGACTGCAACCAGACAGTACACCACAGACAGCCCTGCCAATCAGACATAAGCAGAACCAGAAGTCGACCATGCAAGTGATGGATAGATGCAACAACTGAGACTACAAATACCAGCTTGCACCTGATGCCTCTTTAAAACATGACACCAAAAGGTAGGACAGGACTAGAACAGACAGTTGAGTGCACATCTGTTTTACAGATGTGGCTTATTTGTATGCAGATTTTTTAGGCCTGGCTTCTCAGGCAGATGTGCTTTTGCCCTTCCCCACCAAATCAGGGTCCTGGAAGCCATATGGGGAGCTTCATATTTATGATTCACATTTTACATGCTGCAATGAATGATAAAAAAATAATTATCTTTGGAGCAACAGAGTACCGAAATTGAGCTTGATACTTCTTCAGTGACCAGCGAAGACAGTCCAACATGTAATTTCAACAGACTCACACAGCCTAATTTGAAAAATCAAGACTGGTGTCCTATGTGTGAAGTGTCTTGAATCGCTTAACATAAAAGTTAGTTAATTGCGTATCTTTTACAGGAAATTGCAGAACCAGCCCCAGCATTTTTTGGATGTTGTGGTTTTTCAAGGCAAATTTATGTTCAATAGTTTGCCATGGCTTTCTGGATGGTCGACTTCTTGATACCACAGTCAAAACCAACACAAGGTGCAAGGCCCGCACAGATGGCATTAAGAAGCACGTTCGCAACACCTAAGCCACAGGATATTCTGGTGTGCAGAGTATTGAGCAGGCTGATAGACTGTCTGCTGCTACTCCTCTAGGGGATGAGCTACTTAATTATAGTGGAAGTGTTAAGGCTCCCTAGGATCAGGTAGACAGTGCAACGGAACAAAGCATCCATACCTAGAAAGACTGACCAGTGCAGGGACAGGTAAAAGATCTGGACAGATTCAGGTTACAACTGGCACCATCACTATGGAAACTCTTTGTTCGCTGCTGAGGAGAAGACAGAGCAAATGTGGGAATGCCCCAAATGCAGAGTAAACAATTCTTGATTCATTCATTCATTCAAGTGTTTCAACAGGCTAACCACTGTACCACAAACACAGAGATCATTCATCACTCACTTTGTGTGCACTTCGAACTGTGGACAGCCTGTGGGCGATGACTATCACAGTACGTCCTTTCATGGCTCTTTCCACGGCCTCTTGGACAAGATATTCGCTTTCTGCATCCAGGGCACTAGTTGCCTGAAACAGAAACAACCCATAATTTCATTCAGTGACGGATTGCTGTGGGGCCGAGAAAAAAAAAAAGAAATACTGACATTCTAAAAAATCTAAACACCAAGGCAGATTGGCTAGTAACATAACCCTTGAACTGTTAGGGTCGTGGAGGTGTATCGATCGAAGCACAGCACATAAAAGCTGCCATTTTTCTCTGTTTTTTTGCTTGATGAATAAGTGTATGATAACTTAGTCCTGTCCATTTCTTGATTTTGTCATTCTAGGTTCTATTTTGCCTTCCTCTTCTTTAACTAATCTCCAATGTTCCTTGATGCACAGTCTTTGCAATCAAATCATGTCTCACCACGTGCCTAAACCAAGCTAGCTTGAGACCTTTCACCACTGCCAAGAAAGGCTCCTAATATCCTGCAAATTTGTATATTTTGTCTCCGACATATTTGTTAGTTCTGTGTTTTGTAAAATGCATCTGTAACATTTACATTGGAAAGCCTGAATCCTCCTTTCCAATTCCACAGTGAGAGTCCATCTCTCACATCCGTATAAGAAAATAGACAATACCAGGGATTTGTATATGATGACCTTAATTGAGATGCTGATTTTGCTTTTTTTCTTCATATTCGTTTGGGATATCATGGCTGTTGCCATATCAAGCCTTGTCTTGATCTCTCTGGTACAGCTTCCATCATTACATATGTGGGAGCCGAGATATTTTAACGTTTCAACTTCTTTTAGTTTTCCCCCTTTTATCTGTATGTTGGTAGGTACTTGATTATAGTGGCTTTTACCAGAATTGGCCAGTAAACAGCATCGTGTCGCAGAAACTTAAATATTTTGCCCATATTAAGTGCCATGGTGGACTGGGAAAAAAAAACACAGTAGCAGAAGGCATAGTAAAGTAATGTAAAGATCTCTTTTCACATCTTTAGGAGCATCAGATATATAGGAAGAGCGCCCATATTTTACCAGACCATCAGCACTAGGTGGGTAATGTGGTCAGCATTACGCCGGCCGTCTTTACTTCCCCAGGACAGCCATCCTGGTACCCATTTTAGGCTAGGTCGACCTGCGACGCCCCATGCCAAGATAAAAATCCACGCAGCTAGCAGTGGGTTTCGATCGCGGTACGTTGGAATTACAAGTCAGACTCGCAACGCCTAAGCCACAGACCCCGCTAGCAGAAGGCATGGTGGCATGAAAAAGATGTAAGGGCTCACCAGCACAAAGATGGGCATATGATATAATTGATATTTTGGGTAGGAGGCTGCAAGAAGCACAAAATCTGGTGAGAGATTGAGTTTTCTCAGGACGGCTGTGATGGCAGCAATGTTTCGCAAAGGACTTGCTTCATGACGATGATCTGATTGATACTCTGTGAGAGTAAAGTAATGTTGAGTTTTAAAGCATATTAATGTAAAGTATAGTCAGGACGTAAAGCATAGTAAAGTAATGTGTAAAGATGGCAGTAAAGCCTCTGGCATATGCCAAAGTAGAGTCACAGTTTTAGGTTCGACTGACTGACTGATCCACTGACTGAATAGCTGCCTGAATGATCCACTAACTGACTGATTGATCCATTTATTGAATAGCTACCTAAATGATCCACTGATTGACTGATTGATCCATTTATTGAATAGCTGGCTAAATGATCCACTGACTGACTGATAGATTAACTGATTGACTGATTCACTGAATGACTGACTGACTGGATACACCAGCACACACCAACACTTGCATCAGGTGCCTCTTCAAATATTGATGCTGAAGGGCAAAAGAAAAAGAAGGGGAAGAAGAAAATGACTGACTGATTGATTAAATGACTGAATGGTTTATCCATTTACTAAGTGATTAATGGAATGACTAACTAAACTAAATTAATAACTGACAACTGACCTCATCCAGCAACAACAGGCTAGGGTTCATAATGAGAGCTCTAGCAATAGCTATACGTTGCTTCTGTCCCCCCGACAGCCTCACGCCTCGTTCCCCGACCAGGGTGTCATAGCCCTGCTCAAACTGCAGCACAAACTCATGGGCATTTGCCTGCTTGGCTGCTTCCAGTATCTGAAGAAAAAGCCAAATAAAATATGCTTATTAAGCAGATATATGTCGCAAAATCTTTCTCCCCCCACAGGAATGGTCCCCAACAAACTAATACAAAGCTATAATGCTTTCTGATTTACACCAATAAACGAGTTCTTGTTATAAAATTGACTATTTTTGTTTTTAGTTCTTTTGTTCCCTTTTAATTTCATACAACTTTGAGTATGGTGTTGACCATGGGCAAGTAGTATTCACTTCTTAATAGGCTTACACTGGTGAGTTACTTAGACAAAGCCTGTGCATATGCTTGACCAACCAACAATCTGCAGTACAAAACACAAACCAAACTTAAACACATTTGTAAAACGTACTAAAATGAAATCTGTGTCAGTGTCCCGCCTTGCACTCAACTCAGTAACTGGGCAACAGAACTATATACTTTCAGTCCACACATGGGGAAAATGCAACAGCCAACCATAGGCAGAAGCAAACAATTTGCTAAGACTTAAACAGCTGGACTATCTATCACCTGAGAGGTAAGGAACTAACAGTCTGCATACAAATAAGCCAGATCTGTAACTAAAGTACAGAGGTTGATGAACAACTAGAATTTTTTGCTGGAGTTTACACCTGGTGAATGGGAAGAAGTAGAAGAAGAACTTCATTAAGAAGTTGTTTTTGTGTGTGTGTCTGCAGCAACTCTGAAGCCCCACCCTGGCTTTTGCCCGGGGCCGCTGAATACAGACCGGCCATAAATATAATGTCTAACGGCTGAAAGGGGTTTCTGGGACCTCTCCACGGGTGATCCTCATTTGCATGGTGGCACTTTGTGTCACCGGGTGTTTATCGGTTGTCTGATGTCCTGGTGTGGTACAATTACCTATCTACCTCTGAGGTATAATATCACTTGTAGCACCTTGAGTCTGTCTTTCTCTGGGTAAAGTATACTTTCCATAGGGAGATCATTGGCTGCAGAAGAGTTAAAACAAGCTCTCTTGTGTAACTCCTTCCATCCAAGAAGGTAAAGGTTGATGCCCAGTGAACCAATTATGATGTCAACAAACAAATGGGTATACCATATACATAGGGCTGAAATACATATCCCCTGTGGGAGACAAATGTGTTGTTGAGTGTTTTAGCATGCCCCGACTAAACATACAATGTAAGAAAAGGACCATTGTCAACACCATCAGACATACTGGGCATGGAGTCCTAGACCAACATTTTTATAGACTAATCGGCACAGAGTTTGTGATGTGGTCGACATCAGGCCGACCGCCTTTACTTGCAGGACTTTACCTGTTACCCATTTAAGGCAGGTTTGACCTGAGAGCCAGGGTCGTTAATAAAAAAAAGTCTGGCTCTGTTCATCATCATCATCATGTAGCAGGACCTTTGTATACAGTTTCTATCATCACAGTCTGCCTGAAAGAAACTCAGTCTCTTGCCAGCTCTCCCAACTCATCTACTTTCATATCCAAGCAGTCATTTAAATCCTGTGCCCATCTTGGTGTTGGTCGGCCGCTGCTGCACTTTCCTGGTACTATGCCTTCTGCTGTTTTTTTTTTCCAATCTGCTTTGGTGCTCGATGCGACCAAAACATTTCAGCTTTCCATGATAAAAAAGGGTTTATTAGCCAATCTTCTTTGATGTTCTTTTAGAATGTCAGTATTTCTTTTCTTCTTTGTCCATGGTATTCTATGTATTTTTTTATAGCATTTCAGCTCAAACGCCCCTATTATCCTTCACTAAGGACTGAGAGACAGTTCACGACTCACATCAATATATTGCTACAAGGGAAATGCATGTTCTCAAAATGTTAACCTTAATTTTCTTGCTAATGCTAAAATCCATAGGCTTTAGTGCTGTTTAATCTTTGTATTGATATGGCTATCCACTTTTGACTTCTCTCAAATAGTTTCCATTGCTGTTTATTATGGAGCCTAGACATTCACAGTTTATGACATTCAAGCATAATAACTATGTTACGGGTGCGTACAAGTAAATCCACACATGGCGCTTTGTTTGCTTGTTTGGGTCAGAAAGAGTTAAGCACTATTTAGCTTTTTCACCCCACCTCGTTGGTTCGCAATGTACATACAGCTTACCAACAAGTGTCTTGGATTCGTTCCACGGGGTCGGCACACTGTCTCCCACAGTGTACAGCTTTCTTTTCTCCCAGATGAAAGGGAACAACTGTCTTTTCTGTGAATGACTGTTCAAGCGTTAGGGTTAGAGTTGGATGCAGGAATACTGAAAGGTCAAGGAATTTCATGACAAAGGCCAAGTCGGGAAGAATAGTGATTTGACACAGAGCAGAGTGAGGGCGACAAACAAAAGTAACACACAGTGGAAAAGATCAGGCAATTAAGGATAACAACGGTACAAACAGGCAAAACATCACACGCCTAGAATATAAGAGTTTTAGGTTTAGTGCTAAATGAACATCAACTAGGATTAACCCTAACCCCTTATACTGTTCCGGGGAATTCCCTAAGAAATCTCCCACCTGATGAGATGGGGTGAAAAAGCTAAATAGTACCGAGTTAACAAACAAAGCCCACAAGGCAGCATCCATACCTCATCCATGGAAGCCTCCCTGCCGTAAGCAATATTTTCTTTGATGGAGCAGGCAAACAGTGTCGGTTCTTGGCTCACCATGGCAACCTGCTGCCTGAACCAGGTCAGGTCCAACAGTTTGAGGTCACATCCACCTAAAAAAACATAGGGGAAACTGATCAGTAAGGACCTCCTAGCATGGTTACTGAGCTGCTTTCTGATTCACTGATTGAAGAATTGACATCACAGCACACTGAGCATATCCACTGGTGCTCCGTCTCTTGCAGCAAATGTCTTAAGGTGTAGATGCTAACTGTTCCCATACCACACTGATTATAAACTCATCGTTCTCTTCTTCTCATACGTCCCTCCTTTTCTGATCCATGCCTAATTCCTCACTGACACATTCTTACACATGTTATTTTGTATAACTTCTACTAGAATTTGTTCATAAATGGTCTTCAGAATGTCTCCTTTGTCAAGTACCAGTGTTTCTGTAGCTATCGCTTTTGTAACCAGACAATCTGCTCTTTTCTTTCCTCGCATTCTTGCATATCCGGAACAATATATCCACGTGATTTCCTATAATGTTAATGTGCTGATGCTTGGTTATCCACTCATGCCACATTTGTCCCCTGAGCTGATGCTTGGTATCCACTCATGCCACATTTGTTCCCTGAGCTGATGTTTGGTATCCACTCATGCCACATTTGTTCCCTGAGCTGATGTTTGGTACCCACTCATGCCACATTTGTTCCCTGTGCTGATGCTTGGTATCCACTTATGCCACATTTGTTCCCTGTGCTGATGCTTGGTATCCACTCATGCCACATTTGTTCCCTGTGCTGATGCTTGGTATCCACTTATGCCACATTTGTTCCCTGTGCTGATGCTTGGTATCCACTTATGCCACATTTGTTCCCTGAGCTGATGCTTGGTATCCACTTATGCCACATTTGTTCCCTGTGCTGATGCTTGGTATCCACTCATGCTGATGCTTGGTATCCACTCATGCCACATTTGTTCCCTGTGCTGATGCTTGGTATCCACTCATGCCACATTTGTTCCCTGAGCTGATGTTTGGTACCCACTCATGCCACATTTGTTCCCTGTGCTGATGCTTGGTATCCACTTATGCCACATTTGTTCCCTGTGCTGATGCTTGGTATCCACTTATGCCACATTTGTTCCCTGTGCTGATGCTTGGTATCCACTTATGCCACATTTGTTCCCTGTGCTGATGCTTGGTATCCACTTATGCCACATTTGTTCCCTGAGCTGATGCTTGGTATCCACTTATACCACATTTGTTCCCTGTGCTGATGCTTGGTATCCACTCATGCTGATGCTTGGTATCCACTCATGCCACATTTGTTCCCTGTGCTGATGCTTGGTATCCACTCATGCCACATTTGTTCCCTGTGCTGATGCTTGGTATCTACTCATGCCACATTTGTTCCCTGTGCTGATGCTTGGTATCCACTCATGCCACATTTGTTCCCTGTGCTGATGCTTGGTATCCACTCATGCCACATTTGTTCCCTGTGCTGATGCTTGGTATCCACTTATGCCACATTTGTTCCCTGTGCTGATGCTTGGTATCCACTTATGCCACATTTGTTCCCTGAGCTGATGCTTGGTATCTACTCATGCCACATTTGTTCCCTGAGCTGATGCTTGGTATCCACTTATGCCACATTTGTTCCCTGAGCTGATGCTTGGTATCTACTCATGCCACATTTGTTCCCTGAGCTGATGCTTGGTATCCACTTATGCCACATTTGTTCCCTGAGCTGATGCTTGGTATCTACTCATGCCACATTTGTTCCCTGAGCTGATGCTTGGTATCCACTTATGCCACATTTGTTCCCTGAGCTGATGCTTGGTATCCACTCATGCCACATTTGTCCCCTGAGCTGATTCTTGGTATCCACTCATGCCACATTTGTTCCCTGTGCTGATGCTTGGTATCCACTCATGCCACATTTGTTCCCTGTGCTGATGCTTGGTATCTACTCATGCCACATTTGTTCCCTGTGCTGATGCTTGGTATCCACTTATGCCACATTTGTCCCCTGTGCTGATGCTTGGTATCCACTCATGCCACATTTGTTCCCTGTGCTGATGCTTGGTATCCACTCATGCCACATTTGTTCCCTGTGCTGATGCTTGGTATCCACTCATGCCACATTTGTTCCCTGAGCTGATGCTTGGTACCCACTCATGCCACATTTGTCCCCTGTGCTGATGCTTGGTATCCCCTCATGCCACATTTGTCCCTTGAGCTGCACTGTGGAAAGGCAGGGGGTGGGGGAAGGAAAGACAAAAAAACAAGACATTAAAATAAAAAAAGATTTCTTGCAAATTCTTTTGAAGAACATTGCAGAACCACATCATTTTTTTTTTTGGTTATGACTGTTCATGATTTTACTGGGCAATTTTACATTCAGTAGTTTGCCACCGCTTTCTGAATGTTAGGCTCTAAAAAACTACTGCTGAAACCAAGGCAAGGCAATCTGCTGCCAAATCACCCACAGCTGGCACTGAACCCAGCACACCGGAATTATAAATGTGTTCATAACACCCAAGCCATATACGCTAAGCATATTGTAAAAGGTGACTTATTAATTTGCTGAGACTGAATGTGCAGGGCCAAAAGGCAGATACTGCAGCCTAACTGTAAACCACAACACAGTGTACCAATCACCCTTTTAAGAGTGAATGCTCTCACAGCACTCCTGACAAATCCCTAGGTGCTTCATCTCCTCCTCATTAGCTCCACAAGCATAAAATAACTGATCATATCCATTTTGTGTTGATTAAACAAATGTTTTGTGTACTTAACCTAAAGTTGAAGTTACAGTCAATAAAACTAACACCATCTTTTAGTTAAAGTTGAGATTTACTTAAATGCCAGGAAGTCAACCCACATGGCTCAGTCCGTCTATGCAGAATGGCTAGCCACATGAAGCATTAGATAGTGCCACAGGGCTAATTTAGCCGAAGTGTTCAGTAATATAATTACCAATTAAAATCTCTCCCTCGTTAGGATCATAGAATCTCTCAATCAGACTAACCACCGTGGACTTTCCTCCACCAGAGGGCCCCACCAGTGCCACCACTTGACCCGGCTCTACTCGAAATGACATTCCCTGAAAAAAAACAGCAGATCATACATGTAAGTTTAAAAAAATAAAAGTGTAGCTTTGTAGCAGACATCTGAATAGTACTGAGTTAACAAACAAAGCCATATATTAAGTGTTAGACCTTGGCATCAGGTAAACAGGTTATAGCAGTTAGTTACAATTTCACAGCAAATGGGTCACCATATAGTTGCTTCATTTCTTCCTCTTGTTTTGTTTTTTTTCTTTACTTTTAGAATGCCTCACTTCGTCAGGGCAGGAAGAGATCTCTGGAACGGGTCCTTCTGTTTACTTCTTATAAAGTTCTCTTCAGTGTCTCGGATATTTCTGCGGTCCATCTTCTGCGTGGTCGACCTATAGCTCTGTTACCACTGTATCTGTACAATATCGCTCTCGGTGGTGCCCTATCTGATGCCAGTATTTTTATATAGCCAAACTATTTGATTTGTTGTCTACCTATAAAATTCAGTATTCTATGCCAACTCTCCTTCTGATATCATCGTTCATAAGCCGATCTTTCCTCGTTACACCTAGTATAGTAAGTAAACATTAAATTTATGTCGTGACTATTTTCCTTCTGTCTTCTGAAGACAGTGTCCATGTTTGACATTGATAGCACAGCGGTGGTATGGATATTGCTCCAGTTCTGTTCTAACCAAAGCCACACAGGATGCCCCCTGCCAACCCTTGTCTGAATACTGAAAGAGACTGCAGCCTCAACACGGCCAGTAGTATACATGTGCATTAAAGCATCAACACAAATGATCTGCCACTAGAACTGCAGCAGTTTATTGTCAATGTAAGCAACGGTTACAAAAAATAAGTAGCTACACATGTAATTAATCACATAAGGCACCACAAGTTCTGGGGCAACAGGCTGTTGAACATTTTCTGAATTTGCAGTTCACAACACAAGGTACATTGGGCACAGAGACAAATCACTTCAAATGAAATTTGCAGCCTAGTGTTGCACCACAAGCTCAATTCGGTAACTGGGCGACGAAACTACACATTTTCAGTCCAAATATGGTTTAAGATAAAATTAATACACAAAAACCATTAACTATGTGACATCTTGAAAAAAAAAAGATGTTGATAACACGTACAAACAATGTAGGAAAAGAAACAAGGAAAAGAAAGAAGAAAGAAAATAACGAACTTCAGAAAAAGAAAAAACATTTAAGATAACAAACAAACTTAAACTCTGTGATACCTTGAGCACTTGTGTTTCTGGTCTGGAAGGATACGTGAAGCTCACATTCTTGAACTCAATCTCTGAATTTATTTTCAAAAGATAAAAATAAAATAATACAGAAAGGAAAAAATGGGAGAAATATAAATAAGTTAAGTGAATTAACTAATTTATAAAACTAAATGAAAATGAATATAGCTGTGTTGAATACTGATCCCTCCAAGACTGAAAATGCCAAAACTGTGAATGAAATGATAGTTCAAGAAGCAGAGCAGGTGTGATCACAGATGAATGATAATATAAGAATTACCGGAACCCCACGGACAGATTTAAAAAAAAAACAGAAACAATGATGATGTCCTGATAGAAGTAAACTCACAAACAACATAATGTCTATAAGAATATTTTTTAAATATTTAAAATCTCCATTATCATTTTGTAGTTATTCTGTTGTTTTCTTTGGTGGAATTTTTCTTCCTCTTCTTGTGAGCGTTGACAGACAGTTGTTGTTTATAACATAACATAACATAACCCTTGACCCATAGAGGAGGAGTACTGATGGAAGCACTAGCATATAAAACCTGTCATCTTTCTCTGTTGTTGTTCATACACTTCTGGACGTTAGTCTTGTTTTGGAACTTGAGTTTTGTGTGCACACCCGTTTCACCAATCTCGCTTATTTGTATGCAGACTGTTTGTTCCTCATCTCTCAGGCAGATGCACTCCGACTTTGAAGGAAACGCCCCTAATTAGTCGACACTTACTCATTTTTGTTAGGGGGCATTAGGTCTCATTCCCCGCCCCACATGGGCCCTCGGAACCCATACTGGGATGTTAGGATTAAGGATTACAATGTTAAGGAAACTGAAAATGTCTACTGTATATTCTCTGCACCTACCTCCTGTTAAAGAAGACAAAATCAGTGGGTTGGAAGGTACAAAAATATCCGGTTTTCTGTCCAGGAGTGCAAATATCCTCACGGATGCTCCAACTGCCTGTGGGATTCAGACAGAAACAAAGCTGTTCAACGTAATATACAAGGATGTAATGTCACTGGAAAGTTAAGGAGGTCCTTGAATGGATGAATGAATAAATCCATCATCAATCAAGAACTGACATCACTGCACTTGAGACATTTCCCACATTCCCCTGTCTCCTTCCTCAGTAGCCAGCGAAGAGTTGACATGCTAACAGTAAGTACCAGCTTCAATCTGATTAAAAGTCCATCTATGTTTCCCCATCAGTGCTGAATATCTTCCAGGCGCTCTACTGTGTGGATTCTCTGTCTGTCCTACTGGACTGTTCTTCTGATCGCAAACAGCCTTCACCACATCTGCCTTATCACAGAGTAGCTCAACGTGGCAGCAGCCAGTCTATCAGCCCGCTCTTTACCCTGCACACCTTAAGAGAATAAGATTCGTAAAGGAAGCAAAAAATTTTAACACTAAAGAATATGTGCCCATGTGTTACCCGGGGTTACCGCAGGAAGCAAAGAATAGTTACACTGCACCCTGCCAGGCATGTCCTAGGAGGTGACTGAGGAAAGGGTTGGGTTTGAGGCTGGCCCCCTCATCCCGTAAAAAACAACAGCTACAAAAACCAAGCAACCAACCATGATGGACAAGTCAAAAATCATTATACGGAGCTTCAGGAGAGAACTAAACGAGCTTCAGTGAATCAAGAGGGGAAGAGAAGACACTGGTGTTGGACAGGAGACCTGCTGAGGAAACTTGTACATGATGACGATGATGAGAATAATGATGATGGTAATGTTGTAAATTGATGACAAGAATGATGTCGATGGCAATGTTGTAAATGATGATGATAATAACGAGGATTGACAGTTGTAAATGATGACAATGTGAATGATTATGGCATTGTTGTAAATGATGATGATAATAATGATAATGGCAATGTTGTAAATGATAATAACAATGAGAATGATGATGCTGATGGCAATGTTGTAAATGATGATGAAAAGAAAGATGACGACGACGATGATGATGATAACCCTACGTCCTCAGTCATGAACAAGAAAGCATCACCTACCTGCATGAAGTCTCCATAGAGTGAGGACAACAAGGCAAACCCCATGGCCACCTGCAGTGTGTACAACAGGAATGCTGTTGCAAAGAGACACAAAAGCATTTTTATGGCTTCAGTTAGCCAAGTTACTTTATTATTTTTCTTCTGCTTCTTCTTTTGTCATCTCATTGATACTTGACTGTAGCACAGTAAAGCTGTTTGTATTTGTCTTGCGCTTCTTGGGTAGCTTTTATGATGGATTCGTTCATCATTTTGCAGGTTTCAGCTATACTCTTTATCTGTATCTTTCTAGTTCTTCCTCTCACCTTCCTTCGAGATGTTCTGCTGTAAAATAAAATCTCAAATACAGTTTAGTCTGGCTAAATTCTCACTAGATGGCCAAACCAATTCATTCTTTGTTTGTCGACATCATTCAGACACTGTCTTGTTCCAACTTTACCTCTAATGCTGGTATTCGTCACCTTATCATTTCTTGTGTTATCAGTGAGTCAAGTCATTACTTGCCAAATTATGACAAACAAGTTAACATGTATTGATTGGCACTCACAGAAAAAAACAGAGACACAAGAAGCCACAATAGGCAACATAAAAATCAAAAGCTACAGTTAGCACACGGGTAATCAAACCTGTGACTTTGAAATGATAACATCTCGCTGTAAAGACAAGTGAACTTTGACCCATTACCATACCTATGTGAGTTCTGGGACCCCACAGTGGGGAGAAAAATAACAGACCCACCCCCCCCCCTCCCCCAACCAACAAGCATGACATATAAGTCGAGTAAATCCCTGTGTGGGTTCCGGGGCCTTGTTATAGGGAAAACGAGAATAGACCCACTGCTTACCCAAAAGCCTGTTGTAAGAGTCGACTAATTGGGAGCTTTCTTCAAAGTCCGAGTACATCTGCCTGAGAGGCAAAGAACCAGCAGTCTGCATACAAATGAGTCAGATCTGTAAAATGGATGGACACACAACACTCAGGCTCTGGAACAGGACTGCAGTCTAAAAGTGGATAAACAACCAGAACTTTCTGCCAGAGTTTACAGCTGGCGAAGAAGAAGTCGAGTAAAAAGACATTTTTCTTCCAAAGCCATGGCCCATCTGTCAGCATGTTGAATGTTGTTGAATTCTGAATTAGGAATCAATGTCACCGTATTTGGGGCACTCCCATAAGCAGCAAACAAAGAGTTTCAAATCCAAGGGCACCAGTAACTGTCTGATTGTATATCCATCTGCAAGAGCATCTGCCAGATCTGCGAGGAAACCAACAGTCTGCATACAAGTAAGCCAGATCTTTAAAATGAATGAACATGCACAATTTATAATATAGTAAGGGGCACAGAGAAAAAAATAATAAACAAAACTCAAAAGAAGACTGTACTCAGATCACCAGAGTTGTTTTAGACACCCCCTTGCCCCCCCCCCCCCCCTCTCCCCCTCCAAGATAATGCTTAAAACAAACAAAAAACGGACAGAGACAGAAGAAGAGCACAGAAGAAAGACTGAGATCTCCTCACATGTCAGCAGTCCTGCTGTAATGCCTGTATTGGGATCTTGAGAGTTGTCATACACCAGCTTGCCTCCATACCACAAGACGGCTGATATCGCTCCGTAAGCCAGCAGACTGAACAGGCCATCCATGGAACCTGGGGAGGTAGAGAGGTAGAGTCAGGGTGAAGACTGCACCAGAAAAGAGACTGTCACAAAAGAGTGTCAGAAAATAGACATTGTCATAAAAGAGACAGTATCAGAAGAAAGACAGAATCATAAAAGTGTTAGACAAGAAACTGTCAGAATAGAGACACTGTCAGACAAAAGATGAATTCAGAAAAGAGACAGAATCAGACGAGAAACACTGTCAGAAAGAAAAAAAAAACTGCCAGACAAGAGACTCTGTCAGAAAAGAGACAGAATCAGATCAGAGATTGTGTCAAAAAGAAACAGTGTCAGATAAGAGACAGCATCAGACAAGAGACAGTGTCAAACAAAAGACAGCATCAGACAAGAAACATCATCAGATAAAAGAGATAGATGTCAGACAAGAAGCAGTGTGGGACAAGAGACAGTGTCAAATATAATTTAATAGAAAGAGACAGCATCATCAAACAAAATGTAATTTCAAGAGGCAGTGTCAACTAAATAAAAAGAGATGGTGTCAAACTGAATTTAATGACATGACACAGTGTAAATAGAATTTAGTTACAAGAGACGGCGCAAACATAATTTAATGACAAGATGAAGTGTGAAACAAAATTTTATAACAAGCGACAGTGTCAAACAGAAACTTAGTATAAGACAGAAACAGGTAACACAAAGTAACAGATCTATATACCTTGTGCAAGTGCCAGCTTTTTGCCAATCTTGTAGCTTTCAGTGATGCAGTCTGAATACAACATGTCGGCTTTGGTCTCCCCTGAGAAAGATTTGACTGTCCTCATAGAGGAGAGAGCCTCCTCGGCCACAGTCCCCCCATCTGCCAGACGGTCCTGCAGCAGCTTGCCGATCTTCCTCACAAACTTCCCTGGAATGTGAACACACAGAGACTGCTGTAGTATATGCCACTGAGAGGTGATCACATCATGCAAAAAACCGGCACAGAACCAATTCAAAATATCATACAAAGAAAGAATGCCTTGTGATGCCATACCATATAAGGCAGACACTAAAAGTGGAGAAAGACATAGATCACGAGGCAGACCAAGAACATTTGGAAAGATTAAATCAGAGAAATCCAACAACAGCATGATATGTCTATGGCAGAGGTGGCTAAAGGAGCCAGAAGCAGAATCTTATGTCTCCCTTGATACCCAGAGTGGTAAAAGAGGAAGGGAAGAAGAAGAAGGAGAAAAAAGAAGAAGAAGAAGAAGAAGAAGATTTATTTCTTTGTAATGGACAGTGGTTTTTTGAATGCCTGTTAGGGTCTTGGTCAGATATGACTGAACTACGGTATAACAGGAGTTGGTAGTACATGTTTTCTGTCAACGCTCAATGGTGAGCAGCCTATATCAAGCCTGACATCCCACACTGCGCTAACGGCTTCAGGTAAAAGAGGAGAAGGAAGCAGATCAAGGAGGCAGACCAAGAACAAGATGGAAAGACAAGATCAGAGAAACTCTACAAAAACACAATGTGTCCATGGTTGAGGCAGCTAGAAGAGCAAGAAGTAGAACCTTATATCTCGCTTGACACCCGTAGCAGTAAAAGAGGAAGGGATGACAAAGCAGTATATGCCAGTAAAATCTACTTTTCTACAAAAATAACATAACCCTTGGCCCATTAGGGTCATGGAGGCATATTAATGGGAGCACTTGGGCACAAAACCGGCCTTTCAAACTTGCCATACTGCACAGACTGGGTACTACAAACTTACCGTACTGCAAAGACAGGGTACTACAAACTTACCGTACTGCACAGACTAGGTACTACAAACTTACCGTACTGCAAAGACAGGGTACTACAAACTTACCGTACTGCACCGACTAGGTACTACAAACTTACCGTACTACAAAGACAGGGTACTACAAACTTACCGACTTGCACAGACTGGGTACCACAAACTTACCATACTGCAAAGACAGGGTACTACAAACTTGCCGTACTGCACAGATTGGGTACCACAAACTTACCGTACTGCAAAGACTGGGTACTACAAACTTACGGTAATGCAAAGACTGGGTACCACAAACTTACCGTACTGCATGGCACTCAGAGACACTACTGGCACTATGGCCAGGAGGACCCCTGTCAGGGCAGCATTCAGGTAAAACATGAGAACTAAGGATCCAATGATCTGCAGTAAGTAGCGACACAGCATGGACATGTTCACCTGCAACATAAAAACATATGTATGGTAATGATACCGTATTGATTTGTCTGTGAATAAGATGTTCTCTTTAATAAGACGTACCCCAAAAACTGAAAGAAATTTTACAGTAAAAATGCAAAGAAAAATATAACTAATGCAAAAAATTATAAATATCATGAAAATGGTAAACGCAAAACAGCAGTGCAAACACTGCTCTGGGATGATGAAATGAAATACTACTAAATTCAGAGAATTAGTCCTCACAGAGCCGGACTTTTTTTTTCAAAAATGGCCTTGCTTCCCAGGTTGACCCAGCCTTGAGTGGGTACCAGGGACAGTCCTGGGAAGTAAAGGTGGCCAGCGTGATGCTAAGCACATCACCCAGCAAGTGCTGATTAGTCTATAAAATATAGGTCTAGCCTATAACCTCAAAACACCTGAGGGTGTTGAAAAGGGTCCTTTACTTTTTTACTAACAGAGAATTAGGGCCTTCCACAGGTATGCATTTCCCACATGATAACTATTTTTCTCAGAGAGTTAGCAGAACTGTTAACATAGAGAGTTAGCCGAACTGTTAACACAGAGATTTAGCAGAACTGTTAACACAAAGAATTAGCAGAACTGTTAACACAGAGAGTTAGCAAAACTGTTAATGCAGTGAGTTAGCAGAACTGTCAACATAAAGAGTTAGAAGAACTGTTAACACAGAGAGTTAGCAGAACTGTTAACATAAAGAGTTATCAGAACTGTTATTATGTAGAGTTAACCAAATTATTTTAAGGCTTACGGTGACAGCTTTCTGCACCTCCTGTGTGTCAGACGCCAAACGATTGCACAGCTCTCCTGTCCTGAGAATTACAAAAAACATTTTCTGGTGTTAAAAGGATTTGTGAAAAGTATACCATCACACTTATTTTTTTCCGCCCTGCTTTTGCTCCATTTCCTTTCTGACTCTTTTTCTATTCATTCTTCTTCTTTCCCTTTCCTTAGAATCAGACAAAAACCATACCTGTTTACATCAAAGACCCATAAACATTCACATTCAAGTCCAATACCTGTTCACATCAAAAACACCCACCCGTTCACATCAAAGACCCATACCTTTTACTTTAAAGACCCGTACCTGTTCACATCAAAGACATATACCTGTAAACACATCAAAGACACACACCTGTTTACAATAAAGACTCATACCTGTTCACATCAAAGACACATACCTGTTCACAACAAAGACCCTTACCTGTTCACATCAAAGACACACACTTGTTCACAGCAAAGACCCATACCTGTTCACATCAAAGACACACACTTGTTCACAGCAAAAACCCATACCTATTCACAACAAAGGCACATACTTGTTCACATCAAAGACACAAACCTTTCACATCAAAGACACATACCTGTTCACAACAAAGACACATACCTGTTGACATCAAAGACACATACCTGTTCACATCAAAGACACACACTTGTTCACAGCAAAGACCCATACCTATTCACAACTAAGACACATTCCTGTTCACATCAAAGACACAAACCTTTCACATCAAAGACACATACCTGTTCACAACAAAGACACATACCTGTTGACATCAAAGACACTTACCTGTTCACAACAAAGACACACAGCTGTTTACAACAAAGACTCATACATGTTCACATCAAAGACACACACCTGTTCACATCAAATACACACACCTGTTCACATCAAATACACACACCTGTGCACTTCAAAGACACACACCCGTTCCTATCAAAGACACACACCTGTTCACATCAAAGACACACACCTGTTCACATCATAGACAAACACCTGTTCACATCAAAGACAGATACCTGTTCACATCAAAGACACATACCTCTTCAAATCATAGGCACACACCTATTCACATCAAAGACACACACCTGTTCACAAAAAAGATCCATACCTGTTCACATCAAAGACACACACCTGTTCACATCATAGACAAACACCTGTTCACATCAAAGACAGATACCTGTTCATATCAAGGATACATACCTCTTCAGATCATAGACACACACCTATTCACATCAAAGACACACACCTGTTCACAACAAAGATCCATACCTGTTCACATCAAAGAAAGCAATCTCTTGAAGAACGATGGATCTGAAGAGCTGCTTACGGAGCCTGGCAACAAACCTTTGACCGGCCAGAGTAAACATCCAGGACCTGAAGAGACTGAAGACTGCTCCACCCAGGTAGATGAGCAGTAGAATCATCACCGTCCTGTTCAGATCAGCTGTAGGATGTACAAACATCAAATTAATGAGGCTAGCTGATTTACGATGCACAAAAATAGTAACAAGAATACAATGAATACACCAAAAGACATAGAGCGCAAGGTGTACCAAGAACAAGATGGAAAGATAACATCAGATAAACTTTACAATAGCAGGATGTCTGTGACTGAGATGGCCAGTAGAGCCAGAAGCTGAACCTTATACCTCCCTCAACACTCAAAGCAGTAAAAAAAGAAGTCAAGAAGAAAATAAAGTAGGATAAGACATTAAACAGAATCAAAAGCACAAGGCAAAACTGTAGCTCTTGTGGGTTCAATGGTCCAATTTTAGGGGTTGTACAGTTATCATGATGTCACACAGAGTTACTCATAGTCGCTCACCAAATCATACAGACATTCCCACACTGTAACAATGAGTTACTCGTAACGTCTCACGGTTACTAAATAGTGCCCCGCAGACTTTGTCAGGTCACCCTTCCTTCGAGTTTTATGGTCAAATGTTTTGGGGAAAGAATAGACCCGTCATCCCTTGACAAGCATGTTGTAAAAGGTAACTAATTAAGGACGTTCTGAAATCAGATGTGTACTAATTAAGGACTTTCTGAAATCAGATGTGTGGGCCTAAAATGGCAGATGTCGCAGCCTACTTGTAAACCACAACACAACAAACCAACAGCATCTGTAAGAGTAAACAAAGATTTTTTTTTAATGGGAAGGGGGGTTCATGCTACACAAACTTATTAATTTTGCCAGACCTTGTGATAATACATAGACATACGCCTGAAGTCACACAGTCTTACACTAGAAGTCACACAGACTTGCCAATGCTGTCACAGACTTACACCTGAAGTCACACAGTCTTACTCTAGAAGTCACAAAGTCTTACTCTAGAAGTCACACAGTCTTACTCTAGAAGTAACACAGACTTACTCTAGAAGTCACACAGACTTGCCAATGCTGTCACAGACTAAACCTGAAGTCACACAGTCTTACTCTAGAAGTCACACAGACTTGCCAATGCTGTCACAGACTTACACCTGAAGTAACACAGACTTACTCTAGAAGTCACACAGACTTGCCAATGCTGTCACAGACTTACACCTGAAGTCACACAGTCTTACTCTAGAAGTCACAAAGTCTTACTCTAGAAGTCACACAGTCTTACTCTAGAAGTAACACAGACTTACTCTAGAAGTCACACAGACTTGCCAATGCTGTCACAAACGTACACCTGAAGTCACACAGTGTTACTCTAGAAGTCACACAGACCTGTCAATGCTGTCACAAACGTACACCTGAAGTCACACAGTCTTACTCTAGAAGTCACACAGACTTGCCAGAGCTGTCACAGACTTGCTAGAACTGTCACAGACTTGCCAGAGCTGTCACAGACTTAGACCTGAAGTCACACAGACTTGCCAGAGCTGTCACAGAATTGAAAGTGCTGTCACAGACTTACACCTGAAGTCACACAGACTTGCCAGAGCTGTCACAGAATTGAAAGTGCTGTCACAGACTTACACCTGAAGTCACACAGACTTGCCAGAGCTGTCGCAGACATGAAAGTGCTGTCACAGACTTACACCTGAAGTCACAGAGACTTGCCAAAGCTGTCACAGACTTACACCTGAAGACACACAGATGCCAGAGCTGTGACAAACTTGCCAGAGCTGTTACAGACTTGACAGAGCTGTCACAGATTTGCCAGAGCTGTCACAGATTTACCAAAGCTGTCATAGACTTGCTAGAACTGTCACAGGCTTTCCAGAGGTGTCATAGACTTGCCAGAACTTACCCATACTTTTCAGGGCAGCATCCACAACTCTTCCAAAAAACAATGGTGCGATTGTCTGCACGGCCGTTGTTACCAGCAGAGCAAAGGAACCAGCCACAATCAGGCCTGCTTCCTGAAATAAAGGCACATCAATCAACTACCCATAACATAATAAATCAATCAACCATCCAAACAAATAGTTAATCAATCAACTACCCATAACATAATCAATCAATCAGCTATCCATACAAACAATTATTCAGCCAACTACACAGCTATTAAGTTAATTACCCACACAAATAATCAATCAATCAACTTCGCAATCTACTGCCTACACAACAAATCAATCAACCACCCACACAATGAACCACCCACACAACAAATCAATCAACCACCCACATAATAAACCACTGACACAAATAATCAATCAATCCACCAATCAAGCGACCACCCACACAATCAACTACCCATACAATCAACTGCCCACACAACAAATCAATCAACCAACTACACAATCAACCACTCACACAATCAACCACCATCATAACCAACCAATCAATCAACCACCCAATCAACTAACCACCAAAGCCACCTACCACTCAATTAACTAACCAACTACTCACCCAAAAAACAGAACCAGCTAACCAATATTTCAAACCAACAAACAGATAACAACTAGCTTGGTTTGGTACTCACAGGCTTAGCCAAAACAAACAGTTTATACAGAGAGGCTGTCGTTGCTAACGGTTTTCCACTCTGATCCACTTCCTGCCCAAGACTGTTATAATACCTCATCACCCGCTGGTTCTGCAGCTTCTTCATCGCCAGGCCAGAGACACCGCTGAGCACCAGACAGGCGACACTTGCCACAATATTCCAAATCACACAGGCGTAATAAGTCCGGTGAATACTATGGAATTCTACATCCTGTTCCAAAACTTGCTTTAGAATGAAACTTCCCTTAACCAATGCGAACGAGAATATTAAGAATGATAATATACACAACAGAGCAATGTACTTCTTTTGTTGACGTATAAAAAGTTGTTTATGTATTCTATTTACAGATTCTGTTGGATTTTGGGGTGAATCGAAACTTAGAATCGTTGTCCGCTCCAGATGGTGAATTAGAAGAAAGTATAGAGGAACTTTCAATAACGATATCACAGCTACATCAAATACTGATTGTCGGAAATGGTATTTTTCAATATTGTCAATGAAATATTCAGAATCGCCACCTGTGAAAAAAAAAACAACCTTGTAAGAGTGAATCAAAAATGGATTTTCAGAAACTGCATCTAATTGAACCTCGACTGGCACCTTTCCATCTTTCCAGACAACATTGTTATACTGCTCTACGAGAAGGCATGGGACTCAGAACCCATGCCGATGACAAGTGTGACTAGCCTGGCCCGTCTGCATTAGGTGAAGTCTTCCACAATTACAGCATGAAATTTCAGGACCATTGTTGTCAACATTTGTGTTGATTGTGTTTCAGCTCTCATCATTTCTGCAGTCATTTCTTCCTTCATTCTCATTCCCTTCCTAATGTGCTCCCTTCCCACAACACGGTCCATGGTCTCTTGTTCCCATGAGTCCACCTCAATACCTGTTTCATTCATGTCCTGCTTGCACACATCTTTATATCATAGCAGAGGTCGATCTCGACACCTTCTACCCATCTTCAATTCACCATAGGCGATGTCCGTAGCTATACTTCATTCTCCAGGTGTGACCCAGCCAGCTGAGCTCTCATAGACTGAGCACAGAGAAAAAATGTTACAATATCTGTTCTTTCCAATACCTCAATATTTGTGATAAAATAAAACCTAGTGCTACATTTAAAATATGTCATTGTAATGTTTCATTAGTACTACTGTATGGATCAACCGGTACCATCGGTACTGAAACTCTGCGCTGGCTGCTGAACATGAGGACAGAGCATGCATGGAAAGGCCCTGAGTGCTGTGATGTCAATTCTTGACTCAACTCACTCTACTGTATGGATCAGAAACAGTAAGAATGACTAAAACATTGTTTATTGTTCATTTTAAAGATCATCTTTATGGCACATCGGGCATGACCATAAGTGCTCCAATCTCCTCCTGAGTAGGTCTCCAAGCATTTTTAGACTTACAACTCCCATTATGTTCTGGCTGATGTAACGACGGGTGGCTCCCGCATGGTTTTTCTGTCTCGTGGCTCCCACTGGTACACACAAGGTATGCAGTCTATTCAGTGAAAAATCATTTTCCATGAAACTGGAAGCCTCACAGCGTTTATTCCTTTATATGGCATTGACGAAGAAACAAAAGTAATACAATAGTATGAAAGGATCATTAATGCAGCATTTTGGGAGTGAGCTTGACTAATACCATAGGTGGTAAAGATGCCTGTAATGGCATCAGGATACCTGTAATGGCATCAGGAGAAGCACGTGGAGATGTTGGTGCACATATTTCTGCAAATCACACATACAGGCCGACCATCATTTGTTTCCGTGAACAGATCACCATGGTCTGAGGAGAATGGCGCTGTGAGGAGTGACCAGGGGATCTGGCTGACACTCAAGGGAAAGGCCAGAACAGAAACAAATTCAGACATGGTGGGTAATGAACAGGCAGACAGATTGGCTGGATCTGCACCACTAGGTGGTGAATTGAACAAACGAACGAACAAACTTTACTTTTAAAGGGTTACAAATTGGGCACACAGACCCGTCTGACATTCGGCTCTTCTAAGCACTCATTTTCAGAGTACCAATGCCTGTTATCAATAATGAATGTTATGGATATAATAAAGAAATATAAATTATAGAATAATGCATACACATATCATGTGTACACAATCTTCCACACTTACACACACGTATACATACTCCTACGTTCTCATACATGCACACTCATATACAGAAGAAAAAGAAGAAGAAGATATATGACAAGGCAGATGTGGTCAAGGCCCTTTAGGAACAAGCAACGGAATCAGTAGAGAAAGAAGATTATTATAGCCTGGAGAGAATGAGGCACCTGGGTGTAACCAGAGGATCTGGCCGACTCACTACACTCTGAGGAAAGGCAAAACGGACATATAACCAGATTGCAACCGGTACTATAAGTATTGGAACTCTGCGTTGGCTGCTGAAGATGAGGATGGAGCATGCATGGGAATGCCCTGAGTGCTGTGATGTCAATTCTTGATTTAACTCAACTCAACATTCAGACTGTAATTGGTGCCATTGGAACAGCAACTCTCTGCTAGTTTCTGACGATGGGAACGGAGTGCTTATAGGAATGCCCTCATAGCTGTGATATTGGTTCTCAACTGAACATTCTACAGTTCCCGTAATACCCAATGAATCTATGGCGCGATGTGTGGTACCTAGAAAGAGGTTAAGAAAACAGAAACAACAACTTACTGACACGGCACAAGATGATGATAAAAGATATGAGGTGTACAAAAAATCAAAATATTCATTATCACATCAAAGTAACATGCTGACAAACTTAAGCTGTCTTGTTTCATCATCCCACATGATCACCAGAGTCATGGATCAGGTCTGTGTTATTATGACCCCCCCCCCCCCCTCTTCGGCAGGAGGCTTTTATAGTTTGCCCTCTAGAGATCTCTTCCTGTCCTGACGCGGGATGCACTCAAGGAGAAGAGAAAAGAAGAAGCAGAAGCTTTCTGGACAGTCTGTGGTTCCCCCGTTCATGAGATTCTGTCTTCCGCTATAGTGCGCTGCCACGATCAAAACACTGCAAGAAAAGCGTGCTCGAGGCTGTCAAAACTATCGGTCACCATCTCCTCCCACTCAGCACAACCATAATATACGCTGCGACCCAAAAAAATGCAATGTATCCTTCACCCCCCCCCCCCCCCCCCCCCGCCCCCCAACTCCAAAAAAAAAAAAATGCCATAGACAGGCAGACATGATTTCACACCTCACAAACTGAACACAGTTGGTTTGTCTCACCTGACAGCCATAAAACAACTGTGACTAGAGAGTCTACAGCAATAAAAACTCGAAAGAACACACTGAACCTCATCGCTGGATACCAGTACCGAGATTGGACTTGCGAGGATGAGGAATTTGGATCTGCTCTGCTGTATGACCTGTTCTCTGACAGGTCATCTACATTCTGATTGATCAGCACTTCTGTGTCTTCACCAACTCTGACCTCACAGGAATCATCATTCTGATTGTCTGTAGGTCTCATTGTGTTTTTATTTCTGGAAAGAAAAAAAAAGATACTTCAGGTAATCACAGTTTCAACTTCCCAGAAGACAAGTTACCCTGAAGATGCTCCGTTCCTCTTCCGCTTCTTTTCTTTACTTCTGAAATGCCTCGCGGCATCAGGGGAGGAAGAGATCTCTAGAACGAGCACATCTGTTCACTTCGTATTTATTATTTTTTAGTATCTCTTAAACTTCTTCAGTCCATCTTCTGTGTGGTCGACCTCTAGATCTGTTAACATTGTATATGTATAACATTGCTCTTGTGGTGTCCTGCTAATCTTGTTACATGGCCAAACCATTTGATTTGTTGCCTACCAATAAAGTTAAGTATTGGTTCTGTGCCGACTCTCCTCCTAATATTATTGTTCCTAAGTCAATCTTGCCTCGTTACACATAGCATAGTATGTAAACATTTCATGTATGTCATGACTATTTTCCTTCAGTCTTTTGAAGACAAGTGTCTATGTTTGACATCGATAGCATAGAATTGGTAAGAATATTATGTTGAACACTGCTCTTTTTGTGTGCATAATCACATGCTTGCATTTCAAAATGTGTGCCATTTGGTCCAAAACTGTTTTGGCTTTCTTGTATCTATGTTGGATTTGTTTATTAGTTCCTCCGTTCCTGTACCAACAAACACCACACAGAATATCCATCACCATCACTTGTGGGAAACATCGACACAAACTGCAATCTTAGCATATCCAATCGCATCACTTCCTGTACTTACCACTTTTGCAGTTTAGGCAGGCTGGTCTTTAAACCTGTGGTTTAAAGGCTGCAAGGCAAGTACTGTCGCCATAGACTCTGCATGCTAGGATTTTACTGCAGCAAATGCCTGCATTAAACGCACAATACAGCCATCAGAAGTGCTAATACAAACAGTCTAACACCAGAAATGTAGTTCATCAATAATGGATGACGCAGTTATAACAGATCAGTAGTTGCACGCTCGATAGAGTGAGACAGAGCGCCAGCAGACACCATTTCTGAATGTGCAGTTTACAACACAAACCAGACTGGTCAAAGTCAGAAAACATGCTGGCTCACAGTGTCATGCCATGCAAGCTCAGCTGCTGGTGACAAAACTGCATCCTTTTGGTCCACATATGGAGGAAAATGCAACAGTCAACTGTTGTCAAAAGCAGAAACTTGCCATGACTAAAAACACTGTAACTGGAAAACAGTAGGTTTATTTCCACTGTTTCTGCTTCTTAGTGTTCACTTCATGACTTTGCTTTTGTTCGAGAGATGAAGTTCTGGGTGCATGTCAGTTTTACAGATCAGGCTTGCTTGTGTGCAGACTGCTTATTGCTCACCTCTCAGCCAGCTGCAGTCAGACTTGGAAGGAAACAACCCTCATTAGTTGTCTTTTATGACATGGTTGTTATGGGGGCAGCGGGTGTATTCCCCCCACCCCTTTCCATCCTTTTTGGGTCGCACCCACAAAATGGGATCCCGGCACCCACAGAGGGAGGTTTATGTAACACATCCATGAGAAAATGGAAGGTTAAGAAAAAAAATACGCAAGCAGTACTTAATTAACACACAAAAGACTCCTTATCTCTGTTTAGTTAATTTGAAAACTGGCAGTGTGACATAAAATAAACAACAATAAGATCAGACAAGGTCTTTTGCCGATTTGGTTATTTATTTTATTTTTATTCATTATTTATTACTGATTACATAACAGATTCTCTGGGCAAAGAATCATCCGAAGACAAGTTAAGTTTACCTTGGTTTTCTGTCAGAAACTTGGTTGACTGGGTGGTTTAATGATTCAACTATCTCAAACTTCACAAACAACAACAAGATTAACAATAAAAACAAGAAGAAGTGATCCAATAAAACAACTAAAAAAATGTGGAGACGGTGTCGTCTGCAGCTGTTGTCAATGACAAGGGCGAATATGGAAGTTAGGAGTGATCTCCCTTGTCAAGACTTGATGGTTGTCTGTCTTTTATCTATCTTATCTATCTATCTATCTATCTATCTATCTATCTATCTATCTATCTATCTATCTATCTATCTATCTATCTATCTATCTATCTATCTATCTATCTATCTATCTATCTATCTATCTATCTATCTATCTATCTATCTATCTGCCTGTCGGTCTGTCTGTCAGTGTGTCTACATACATGAAAAGGTAAGCTTTTAATGCGGTGCTTCACCGAGTTCCGGAAAATGTTACTGAGTTGACCGAATAGCTCACCGACTGTAACCCGGGCTCATGGGGAAATAAAATGATAGCAACACTCCAACTAAGCATACGTGCCATAAGAGGCCATTCAGTAGGACTGGCATGAGCCTAATATGCATATCTGATGTACTGATACCGTAGAGAGCTCAGCAAATGAGATCCCAGAATAAGACTGCACAATTTTGACATGAATTTGTTAAGAACTAATGGTCCATTGAGAGTTGGGTTCCGGTCAGCGGCTTATTTGACATGCCAACCCTCCCCCCCCCCTTTTTTTTTTGTACGTGTGTAAATACGTGTGTTTAGTCTGTTTCTTCTCAGATGCTCAGCTGTCATGATATCTTATGAATTAATCAAGTAACAGAAAGTGTATTGATCGGCACTCATAGAAAGAAGCAGAAAGATAGAAGAAGACACTAGACAACATAAAAATCGAAAGCTATAGTTACCGTACCGGGAATTGAACATGTCACCTCCAGACGGCGTCTGCGCCTCGCCATGGATACAAGTGCACTAAGAACATGGTCAACTAGACCCCCCCCCCCCCAAAAGGTGTCTTTTTGGCCATGTCTATCGTAGAGCTTGAAATCCACAACAATGGAATACGGGCAGAATTCCTTTCAAACCATTGAAATGGCACCATAGGTTACATAAATTTATATTAACGAAGCAAATGTCGAATAACAATCACAGCAACAATTTACGAACACAGTAGACCTTAATGCTTTGTCTAGAATACGCAAACATTTAAGAAAGGTATTTGATGTATTTGTGGCGACCTTAAACGCACAATCCTATTTTTGACCCAGACGGGACTCAATGTTTAGCATGACTGATGTCGAACGCAGAAGAAGAAGAAGAAGATGTCATGCTGCAGTCATTTCTTCCTTCATTCTTTTTTTCTTGCTGATATGCGCCCTCCACACAACAGGGTCTATTGCATTTTGTGAAAAAAAAGAAGAAAAGCTCTGTGTATACATAAGTAACAATAGATTGCTTGTTTAATTTTTTTTCCGCGACTGGAAAGTAATGAGGAAGAGGGGTTTAAGTCCCTACAAATTTGGGGACAGTGGTTGAGAGGGGGGGGGGGGCAGCAAATGTTGTACTTTTTTTTTTTAAAGGAAGGGCGTAGGGGGCTTCAGAGTATCAAAGTACCCGGTTCTGGCACCAGTAATGTAGTTGATGTTTCGATATCCTACCACATTCAATCTCTATATGTCTCTGTAACACGGGTCAGGTCTTTTATAACTTCACTGAAAGAAGAGCTCAGTGTTTCCCTGCGACCTAAGGTTCGCCCAAGATCGAACCCCTATTAGAAAGCCATTAGCGAAATTGATGTGTTCATTTCTGCAGACCAGATTCATCTGAGCACGAACCGAAACAAGGAGTGGCAACAGCCGAGATTTACAGCCGACATCGTTTTCCCTTCCCTTGGTATCTGAACACGACTAGGGGGGAAACGAGGGGAGGGGGGGGGGGCGGTCCCTACGTCATCCATCGTACCAGTATTCCTCATCGTGTGTCTTGCCGGATTGCGTAGGTGTTCATATATCTCTGCAACATAAGGACTGGAGCCTGGAGGATCAAGATGCAAGCCAGCCTCCCCCCCCCCCCCCTCATTTCAACAGCAATCATTTTAATTTTGTAAGCGAAATTAAAAGCTGGTTTAACTATGATTAGACGTGAGTGAGTGATGCTAAATCACACGAGTGACTAACACACAGTTACACAAGGTGCCACCATTCGAATGGTAGTAAACCGAGCACAAGTCCCAGAAACCCCATTTATCTTCTTCTTCTTCTTCTTCGCGTTCACCAGCTGTAAACTATGGCGGAAGGTTCTGGTTGCTCGTCCACTACTGAACTGCAGTCCTGCTCCAGAACCTGAGTGTTGCGCGTGCATCAGTTTTACAGATCTCATTCTCTTGAATACAGACTGTTGGTACCTTGCCTCTCCGGCAGATGAACTCCGACTTCGAAGGAAGCTCCCCAATTAGTCGACTCTCACGACATGCTTTTGGGGAGGCAGTGGGTCTATTCTTGTTTTCCCCCACAATGGGACCCCGAAACCCACACGGGGGCCCATTCAACTGTTAGATTATATTTGGGCTCCCGACTACTCTCGGGGTGGGACTCAAAAGTAATAAAACACTGTATCCCATGTTGGGGCGGAGTTACTTAAAGTATACAAGAAGATCTCTTTAAAATCATTTGAAAATAGATTTTATATTATTTCAGGTGTACTATTACATTAATTTGGTGTTCACCACAATAATAATAATAATAATAATAATAATGTGAAGGATATATATGTGTATATATATATATATATATATATATATATATATATATATATATATATATATATATATATATATATATATATATGTACACACACACATATACATATATATTTACGTGAAATAATATGGCATGTATAAAGAAATACAGTATTTTAAGAGATAATTACCATTTACGGTTAAAAGAGATGTGTTAATCCTCTTCTAAATTACTTTAGGAGCTTAGCCTTCAGCACACAGTTTTATTTACCTATAAAAAGTAGGTACTTTCATTTTAACTCATCACATCTTAGGAATCCGTGAGTTTCCTGGAAAGTACAATATTATGGGGAAAGGGGGAGGGTGGGGGTTAGAGTTGGTCGGTGCTCATTTGACACCGTAACACCCCTATAATAATCGGACTTTCTCGGGGAACTCTCGGATTCCCTAGCAGGGGCTGTACTAAAATTAAAGTACCACAAAGTGTAAGGTGCTGA